AAAATGGAAGGAATCTGTATATATTTAAGAGATGGAACCAACAGGGCTTATTGATGTATTGGACATGGAGTGAGAAGGGAGAACTTTAATCAAGCGTGACTCTGAGATACTTTGCTGGAATTATTAGAAGAAGGGCATGCTGGTTTTCTTAGATGGACAAGACAAGAGGGTCAGGTTTATGAGGAGAGTGTCTAGGTTCAGTTCTGTGAGTTGGAGATGTATGTTAGGGAAGTAAGTGGATTCTATAATGTGGGCAGTGTATCCATGAGTCTAGAGTTCAAGGATGTTTAAAACTGAAGGTACCAGTCTGGAACCTTTACTATTTAGACATGTGAAAGTGGGTTCACCAAGAGACCAGGTTTAAATAGAAATGAAGCCTTAGACCATACCATCATTCACAGGTCTGGGAGAGGAAATGCCCCTGCAGATTTCTGATGCTCTCTAGGATGAAAGACAATTATAATTATTTCATTTTTAAAAGAGGCTTTATTTAGCTATGGCTCAGTGTAATTCATCTGCTTAACATACAGTTCATTGATTTTACCAAAATTATGAATATTTGTATCACCCCCCCCAAAAAAAACCCACATACCTTCCCATCCTCATTTTCTCATTTCCTGCCCACCCTCCTGTAAGTAGACAGCTGCTAATCTACTTGCTTTATTCTGGATATTTCATACCAGTAGAATCGTACAGTGTACTCTACTGAGAGAGGAGCCATATCCATTAAGACCAAGTTCCTGGATTCATTAGATTTTAAAACACTTGGTAAAGGTGGGGCTATAAGATCCCTCCATTGAAAAAATACATTTTCCTCTTTGATTAGTAAGAAAACTGTTGGGTGATATGTTGAAGTTATATGATTAATTTTTCTCCCTGACATTTCATCTGGTGGTTTTATAAAGTTCATTGGAGGTGTTTACATCTGCTCACTTGGTGGGATTACACACAGTCATGATTTGCTTTTGCTCTCATGTTTTCAAAGAGTTCACAGAATTTCAGATTCAGATACATTGTAGAGAGGTTTCTCTTTTCTGTTTGCCCTTTTTTAGGCTCTCAGGCTACAGTGCTTTTCTGTGAGGAAGCATACAAAGTTTGCTTGTATCTTTTTCTATGCAATATCTATTGGTGTCTGACTCATTTTTTTGTTGAACTTTTGGTATATTTTCATTGATATTTCTTGGCACTGAAAAGTAGCCCTTTGTGGAATAAGTTGCAAACACATTCTTTTGACTTTGATTATGCATATTAATTTTTGCCATTCAAATTCTTTTTTTTTTTTTTTTTTTTTTTTTGGTTTTTTCGAGACAGGGTTTCTCTGTGTAGCTTTGCGCCTTTCCTGGAACTCGCTTTGGAGACCAGGCTGGCCTCGAACTCACAGAGATCCGCCTGGCTCTGCCTCCCGAGTGCTGGGATTAAAGGCGTGCGCCACCACCGCCCGGCCTGCCATTCAAATTCTTTAAAAATTACTTGTAGTTATTCATCAGTGAACTCCTAAAATTGTTACTGTTTTATTTATTTATTCATTTGTTTATTTATTTATTTATTTGGGACAGTGTCTCTTTCATAGCCTTAGCTATCCTGGAACTCACTTTGTAGATGAGCTTAGTTTTGAACTCAGAGACCTGCTTGCCTCTGCCTCGCAAGTGCTTGGATTAAAGACGCATACCACCATACCAGCCTCAAGATTGCTATTAACCTTTAAATTTGCTTTTTGATATTAATCTTCCCCCTTTTTCTTTTTCGAGACAGGGTTTCTCTGTGTAGTTTTGGTGCCTGTCCTGGATCTCACTTTGTAGACCAGACTGGCCTCGAACTCGCAGAGATCCTCCTGGCTCTGCCTCCTGAGTACTGGGATTAAAGTCATGTACCACCACCGCCCTGCTCACCCCCACTTCTTCAATGGGTCTTGAGAGGTGATGGTGTTGTATATATCCTATTTAGTACTGAGCTCTCAACAGTTACTGTTTCTCGGCATTTTGGCAAGGTAAGAGCCTCTGCATTAACTGTGGTTGCCTTCTGCAAAAAGGAACTTCTTGGTCCTAGGCTTCCAATTGCACTAGTCTGTGAGTTTATGGTAGTTTGACAACATGTCCATTTAGAGTAACAGTGGTATAGTAAATTCTCCCTTTGGACTCTGGTCTTTCCATTAATGGACTTTTGACCAGGTTATAACAGATGTGTATTCCTTCCTGTGGAGCAGGCCTCCAATCTAATTACAAAGTGGTTGGTTATCCCTATAATAGTTGGCTACTGTTGCTCCAGGGGGCATATCTTGCCTGGTGCTCAGTGTTGTAGCATACAGGTCTACAGGTGGATGAAATCCTTGATTTTTTTTTCCTTAGCAGTGTTTATAGCACCTTTCAGCACTATGAACTCAAGCCAGCGGGGAAGGACTCTACAACTCAGTTCCAGCTTGACTTCTCTGTCCTGTAGCCTGTAGACCTTAGAGCTCTGATAAGTGCATAGTTTGTATTTCACAAGTAAGGTACAGAACATTCCATTTCACCCTAAATTGACCACTTGAAGTCAACCTCTTCTTCACCTAGTGATCTGTTCTGTCTCCACAGCATGTTTAGGTTGCCTTCTTTCACGTAGCACAGTACAGATGAGATTTCTATTGCTCCGTGCATCCGTAGTTCACCCCTTTCCAAATGTAAAGCTCCACTGCACCGGCTAGAGCGCTGTGCTCACTCAGCAGCAGGTCAGTTGGGTTGCTTCTGATTCTTGACACTTAGGAGTGACAGTTGCTTACAGAATTTTGAGTGAACAGACCTTCATTTGACTTGGATAAATACCCGGAAGTAGAATTTCTGGTTTGTATTGTATGTATTTTTTAACTTTATTGGAAGCTGTTGCTAACTTGTTTTTCAGAGTTGGTAAACCATTTTGCATCCTAGCAGTGTGTATGAAAGTTTGCTTGTCTCTCATCCCTGACAGTGGGTATTAGGTGCTTTGTTAGTTTGTTTGGGCTGTCCTAGGAGGCGTTAAGAGCATCTCAGGGTTGTTTTTAGAAGTCTGTCATATCTTCCTGAATAATGATGAGCATCATTACTTGTACATCTTTGCTAGCTGAACTGATCTGTTAAGTTTTTGCCCATTTTACTGTTGTTTGTTTTATTGAATTGTAATAGTTAACTGCTCTTAGATATCAGTTATCTGCTAGAGGTATGCTGTATTTGTTCTCCTGTGTTTGTGGCTTCTTTTCCTTTATTTTTTGCACTGGTGGGGCTAGAACCTACGTTCTTGTACATGCTGAGTGAGTGCTGTAACACTTTTAAAGATGTATTTTTATTTTATTTGTGTGGGTGTTTTGCCTGCGTGTGTGTGTGTGTGTGCACCATGGCATGCAGTGCACAGCAGAGGCTGAAGAGGACATCAAATCCTCTGAAACTGGAGTTACAGTTTTGAGCTGTCATATGGGTTCGGGGAATTGAACCGTGGTCCTGGAGGAGCAGCCAGTGCTGCTAACTGCTGGGCCATCTCTAACTCCTCTAACAGGTTCAGTCTGTAGCTCCTCTTTACTTTCTGAAGAAACTGGATTGTGTGTCCTTTTGTTTCCCAGTTTTTGCTGGTTGAATTCTTGTGGAGCAGTTGAGAGTATCTTCCTGTCGTCTATGTTTCTTGTAAATTGGTAGTTGAATGTAGGAGAATCTAGTAACTCAGTCAGATTTAGATAAAATCTTTTCTTATCATGTTGGTTTCACGGGTGATGTTTGAATGTCTTCCATCAGGAAATACGGATACCTGGCCCATCTTTCTTTGTTGGTTAGCTGTTTATTCTGATTCATTTTATTTTGAACAGTTTAAAGAGTGCTTGATAGGAGTCTAGTACCTAGGAATATGTGTTTAAGCTTATATTCCTGCTGTCTTTGTTTGCTTGTTTGTTAGACAGGGTTTCTTCACCTATATGGCTCAGGCTGGCCGGGAACTCTCTCTGTAGACCAGGCTAGCTTTGAACTCACAGAGGTCTGCCTGCCTCTGCCTCCTGAGTGCTGGGATTAAAGGCGTGCGCCACCACCGCCAGCCGCTTCCTGCTATCTTAGTTAGAAAGCTCACTTCCCCTGTCAGTTTTGACTTCTGAGAAGTGGAAATACTCATGCCTGTTCATAGGATCTCTTTGAAGATTAAGATTATGCTTAGAAGAGAACCTGCTACAGAGGCTAGCATATAGCACTGCTCAGTAAATGTTAATTATTGTGTAAATTTAAAAATATTCTACAGGATTAGAGAGATGACTCAGAGGTTTAAGTGTGTACTGTTCTTGAAGAGCACCCAAGTTTGAATCCTAGCACCTGTACCAGGCAGCTCATAACCTCTTGTAACTGTAGTTCCACGAGATCTGGCACTGTCTTCTGAACTTGGCACCTGCACTTGCATGTGCACATGCCCACACACAGATACACACACACACACACACACACACACACACACACACACACACACACACACATCAGTCAGACATGGTGGCACATGACTTTAATCCTAGTACTCAGGAGGCAGAAGCAGGAGGATCTTTGTTAGCTGGAGGCCAGCCTGGTTTACATATTGAGTTTTAGGCCAGCCAGGAATACATTGTGAGACCTTGTCTTAAAACAAACAGAAAATAAATCTTTAAAAAAATATTAAAACCATGAATAATCTTAAAAGGTAGGTCATCTTGATTTGTGAGGAAATTAAAATTTGAATGGCTAATTTTTAGCACACTTGGTTTTATTTTAGAAGGAGATCAAGTGAGTTATTTAACTGAGTAGAATGGCTCTTCTTTGTTCACACCAGTTTGAAGTTGGATTTAGTGCACATTTGTGGTGAACTTAAGTCCTAAAGTGCTTTCTGCCAGTGTGTTTGATGTTGGTGTGAGTTCTTGTTCACTAGTCTCACATACATTGGAAAGTGTGCTGCCTGTGGAATAGACTGTAGTGTAGTCCAAGTCTAATCTTGATGTTCACTTAGAAATTACTTCTTTCTAGGAGCTTACTGTTACTGTTTTCATTCTACAGTGTAATGTTCAAGCCCAGAAATGCCTTATGTGGATCGACAGAATCGCATTTGTGGTTTTCTAGACATTGAAGAAAATGAAAACAGTGGGAAATTTCTTCGACGGTATTTCATCCTGGATACCAGAGAAGACAGCTTCGTATGGTACATGGATAATCCACAGGTTTGTAAAAACCAAAGATTACTTTATAACATTATAAAGAAGTTATATCTATTACAGTATTTGATATAGATTGTGAATTTGAAATCATACGTATTTATATTTATTTCCACTGGTTTAACTTTCTCCCCCTGTTGGTACCTGTGACCTGTACTCTTGTTTGAACTTTAGAGGGTAAAATTAAGTTTATTTTATTGAAGTTAAAATTTTTCCATGCATATGTATTTTTTCCCTCTTGGAAGTACTTGGCTTGTAGAAAAATTCTGAGTAATCACAGATTTGAGATACTCTGCCTAAGACTATGAGCGTTACCATTTGGAAAAGCTACTGAAATGACTTGATACTCTCCGGCACATGTAGTTCTTTGATCGTGTGAGTGTCAGTCGTTGTGATGAGTCTGTGACTGAAATTGACTTTAATTTTGTTGTTTTCTTGCAAATTTTTGGGATAGATGTAAAAAGTTGAAAAATAGAACACTATTTTTAAGGGCTGAGAGTTGGTTCGGTGAGTATAGGCACTGAGGCAAGTCCGAGGACCTGAGCTCTATTCCTGGAATCCATACGGTAAAAGGAGAGAACAGACTCCCAAAACTGTTCTCTGACCTCTGCACGTGAGCCATGATGTGCACACCCTCGCTTCTACCCTCCTGCCCCAATAAATATAATATAATTTTTTTTAAAAATCCCAGTTTTAAGATCAGTGAGAGACCTGGAATTAAAAATTGTCCGCTGAACAGTTGAAAACTTCCTGCCTGTGGAACTCTTTATTTCAAATCAAATTATTCTAAAAGCTAAAAATGGAGGTATGTGCTACAGTGGAGTATGTGGAAAGTAAGGGATGAGTCTGGCCAGCTTCTTACCCAGTGTGTTGATTATATGGACTGGGATGGAGCAGGAATTTTAGAAAGTTTACCACGCTTCACATAATCAGAGATAGGTCCCCTGTAACTAGTCTCTAGTCTTCGTTACCTGTACTGCTATGATAACGTGTCGGTATTTATTTACATAGACTGGGGGTTACAAATGACCTTAGTATTAGTTCAGTCTCCTCAATGAAGGAAAGCATCTCCCTGTTCTTCAGTTTGGTTATAGCTTGAGTGACACATGGCTAAAAAGTACGTATCATATTTGAGATTGTCAGTTATTATTTTTGTCAACTAAAATCCAGTTCTTTGGCTCTTCTCATCAGTCTTGATTTTACACTCTGATTCTCTACCGTGTAGGTTTAGCCCTTTATTTACAGGCAATCTTGGAAATTTAGGTGGATGGGATGGGTTATATTTCAATTCAGTTTATATTAGCTATGTACTCACTTTGTATGATGAGGCTTTTTAGAGGGCAATAGCATTCTCTGTCATTGTCCATGCAGAGCTTATTGACACTTTGTTTATGCCTTTACCTCTGGGTCTAGGGACCTTTCTTGGGAGGCAGTTACCTGGCTCAGCAGCTGCATGGTTATTATCTCCATTTACTTGGTCTGAGTCAGTGGGAGAAATAACAGGGCAGCAGAAATCAAAGGTTTATGTTGATTTCTTTTCCTCAACATGTGAATCAGATTCTTGTCTTTTATTGTCTTGTGTGTTTAGCTGGGACATGAGTCCCTCAGAGGTAGCACTGAATCCTCTTTGCAAGATCTCAGCTATTGGTTCCTGCAGAGCCAGGGCATATGTTGTCAGTGTTTCTCCTTGATTGGCCTCTCTTTGCAGAGGACCTTACATATGGTTCTCCTGAATTCTCCATAAAACTCTTTGTTATTTTTTTTATTCTTGTGCAAATTCCTCTTAGAATTCTCCCTTTTACCAAAACTTTTCACTTAACACAAAGATAGATACAAAATGAAGTGTATTTGTTACCATGTATGAAACACAAACTTCGAATCAGAAAAAGGCATAGTTTAAAAAAAAGCAGAGGGAGCTGACATACTAGAGATGGTAACATTTAAAACTAACCTAGAAGATTGGATTTGACTTCGACCTAGAAGTGGAGAAGTGACGGTTCCTGGATTCAGAGTAGCAAGGGCAAAGGAGTCATCGTAGGTGTCTGCATTGTGTTTGGATTAATAGTCTGTCTTGGCAGGGAGGTGTCTTCTAAGCTTTGCACTCAGCTGGGTCCTTTCACAGAGACTTTTGTGCATAAGGGGGCGATGTGTAAGGCAGGTGCAGGTGATTGTCCCAGCTATACTAAGCTCAGGCTATCCCACTGAGAGCTCTACTTCTAGCCTCTTTACTTTCCTTTCCTTCCTCCCTTCCTTCTTTTTTTTTTTTTTGACAGGGGCACAAAAAGCCCAAGCTGGTCTTAAACTCTATAGAGCCAAGGCTGGCCTTGAACTCTTGACCCTCCTTCCTCTACCTCCTGTGCATTGGAATTACAGGTGTGGAACACTATACCCAGCTCACATGAACTTTTTTTTTTTTTTCTCAAGACAGGGTTTCTCTGTGTAACAATACTGGCTGTCCTGGAACTCTCACATGAGCTTTTAAAAAGACATTTGTCCTTTTTGTAATTAGTGTATTGAGTTTTCTGAACATTGTTTATAAAGTCTTTTTTCAGTCCTTACAGTTTTCTTTCTAGCTTAAGAGAACTTTTGAAAACCTTGTTTCTATCAGCCAGTATAATAGTCATCAATACCAAGTTTGTTTCACCTTTAAATATAAAGACTAAGACGTACATCTTCTTGAAATCTTGCTGAAACTATTAGATTAAGCCATATGAAATTGCAGATTTAGAGCCATTTTGAATTACTGAGAAATAGAAACTTCAAATGGTTTCATCTCATTGCGTATGTCCAAGTGCTTAAGAGCTTTGGTTAAAGTAAGCAGTTTGTTTCATCTCTCCCTGGGGAGCCACTTCCTTTTTTTTTTTTTTTTTTTTTTTTTGCCACTAACCATCAGTTTAAAAATCCACTCTAGTCTATTATAAGAACTCATTTTGTGGCTGTGTTTTGCTGAGAAAGTTGATAATGATACAGAATTAATGAAGTATCTATACTAGGAAGGGAACTTGAAGAGACTTGAAAAGTTTCGTGTATGGCAAAATGAGCCAAGGAACTTAAAAGTGTGCACAGCACATTTCCATTTAAAAAGAGTATCAGTTAATATTTTTGAAAAAAGCATTAAAGTAGATTATAGCATAGCACTTAAACCATTTAAATGATGTGTCCTCTGGCTCTTACACTCTTTCTGCCTACTCTTCTGCTGTGTTCCCTGAGCCCTGAGAGGAGGGATTTGATGGAGAGATCCTGTTTATGGCGTAGTGTCTGGCTGTGGGTCTCTGTATTTGTTCCCATCTGCTACAGGAGGAAGCTTTTCTCAGGATGGCTGAGCAAGGCACTGATCTGCTCCCGGCCTGGTGTCAAAAGGCCAATATTTTTAAAGAGATGTATTTGATAAAGAAGTTTTACTAGATCAATGTAAAATTAATAGTTTTTTTAAAAAAACTTCTTACAACTGTATTTCTTTAAGTCTCTAAATATTCTCCCATTGCTTTCATAAACAAAATTTGATCTTACTTACAAATCTTGATGTTCACAAAAAAGAATATTAGTTTAGTTACAATGAGACAGACAGTTCTTTAGCTGTAGAGTACATAGTAGAGCAGAGTGAGACTCAGCTCCTTATCCCAGGTGTCATCTTTTTGTTTTGTTTCACTTTTTTGCCTGCAGGGGTTGGAACCTGTGGCCTCACAAATGCTAGGCCAGTGCTCTACCACAGAGCCACACCCACAGTCCTACATTGTTATCTTGATGTCAGCTCTAGTAAATATGTAAATTGAATAAAGTATATTTGTAAAGTGTTGTTTTAAAATTTTTCAAATGTTTTTATATTATAAAATACATAAATAATGCTGAGTAATAATTGTATTTTAATATATATTTTTAGAACCTGCCTTCAGGATCATCACGGGTTGGAGCCATTAAACTTACCTACATTTCAAAGGTAGACTCTATATATTATTTTTAAACTTTTTTTTTGTTGTTCTTTATTTGGTGTTTCTAAGATAAAAATCTTAACTATGCAGCCCAGGCTAGCCTTGAATTCTCAGTCCTTCTGAGGGCTGGGATTACATGTGTGTACCATCTTGTGCAATTCTCATTGTGTTGCTCTCATATGTGAATTCCTGCCCCTAGGTGGTAATGTGGACAGAACAGAGTAGCTTCTCTGTCATTTAGCAGTGATGCTCAGTTCCAGTAATGCTGAAGATTGTCCCCACTTACTGTGTCTAGAAGTTCTTTAAGTTGATAAAACTGGAAGTTGTTGCCTTATATCTTTTAAAATGGGAGATTGTTCATGAACTGAAGTATTAGCTCAGTGAAGCAGGCAAGGGGTGGCCACTATTTCCCCTGCTTCACCACGCTAGTTAAACTGTAACTCTTTGTGTGATGCTTCTCCTTCCACTCTGTCCTGCAGCTCACTGTAGTTTGGATTGTACAGTTTTATTGCCCCACTTTAGGGATGCTATTTCCCCCTAGAATTTATTCCTAGAACAAACTTCATCATGTGAATTTGTAGTTGGGATTTATCAGGAACTCCAGACTAGAATTTATTTTGAAATACAAAATATGAGTCCTGTCACTGGGAACAGCCCAGCAGAGGTCATGAATGGGGTCCGAGGGCATCTTACTCAGAGGGATGTACTGACGTAGTGTGCCTAGCTGTTTCACCTTACGAGTTGAGCTGTTCTGTGTTTAATGAGTAGGAGATGGAGTGCCCTCTTGACTTCTCAAAGAGATTAAGGCCTTCTGGAGTTTTGAACTCTAGATGAACAAGCTTGCAGTCCAGTCGGCTGCCAACGTAGAAATAAGTTTGGGATACCCGTAGTTTCTGTATGCATTGAGGGCATGTTGTCTGTCATGTTATAAGAGTATATGTGTCACATGACGCCTCCAGGTGCACTTTTGACTTCTTCACATTTCCTGGAGTAAGAAGTTCATTCAAAGAAAATGTGGAAGTATTATTTGTTTTATAGTACAGCTGGGACCCAGATTCTGTATCTAATTGCTATCTTTAGGTTGCTTTTAAATTTTAATTTCAGATTGGTGTGCTAGGTGGGAAGTTGTACATGTGGAAAATTGTATAGTACTTGAAACTGAGTATTGTAGCATGTGGAGGAGTAACTCGGACCTCTTTTTTTTATTTTTATTTTTATTTTTTTATTAGGTTAGTGATGCAACTAAGTTAAGGCCAAAGGCAGAGTTCTGTTTTGGTAAGTAGCCATATTTACATTATTTTGTCTTCTAAATGATACCATTCTACCAACCTCCTCTTAGTTCTTTTTAAAAAGTGTTTGTGTGTGTGTGTGTGTGTGTGTGTGTGTGTGTGACAGCATTCATGTGGAGATCAGAGAATAATTTACAGTAATCAGTTCTCTCCTTCCACCATGTGGGTTCAAAGGATTGAACTCAGGCTATCAGGCTTGATGGCAAGTGCCTTTTCCTGCTGAGCCATCTTTCCAGCCCTGTTATTTTAAATTAGGCGGATATATTATAAAGTAATACAGTCACAAGAAACAAACCTATGGCTTAATGGATCTCTAAGAAATTCCTTTATACTCATCATCCAGGTGAGGGAATAAAACTTTGACCCTGGCTACCAGCCTCTTCTCATCCTGGTTATAACCTCCCCACACTCATGTGTAACTGTTACGATCTCACCCAGCAATATTTCAGGTAGTTTTTTAGCTCTGTACCTTATTTTCTTTATTGACCACATAAATAATGCAAGGGACCTTGTCTTTTGCAAGGGAATGAAGTATTCACAACTTGGAGGCAGGAGGAACTGAGGATGTTAGATAAACTGTGAACAGGTGCTTAGTGAATGCCTGGGGCACATTGGGCTGTGGGAGAATGAGTATTGGTGCCTCAAGGATCTCATACTAGGTGACAGACAGATACAGTACCTGTCGTTATCATTCCAGCAGTCAGTAGATAGAGGGGATATAGAGTCAAGGGTGCCACCATGGATGAGGACACCCCGTCCTAGGGACCAAGTAAATCACTGACCACTTTTTACCACCAGTAAGAAGAAATAAGACCTCATGGGCAGAGGTGTGCAGCAAGGGAGAATGTGATGTAGGAACTGGAGGCAGATGCTGGAGGCAGAAGTCAGGATGTGGTATGTTGACAAGCAGTGCATTTCCTTATTTTGAAAAAGGGAAGAAAGTAGAGTGCCTGAAGCAGACCTGAGGTGAATGAAGGTGCTGGCTCCATGCTTGGGAGTTAAGCAGAGAGATGAGTTGTGTGACTTTTGAACTAATGTACTAAAGGCCTTCAACCTGAATGGAGCTCATATAGGTGAGAGAAGCTAGAGGAGCCTTAGAAGAAAAAGTACGGAGACTCGGAGATTTACATCCACCCAGGCAGATCCTGACTATTATGAATAGTGCTAACATGGGTTTGCAGGTGTCTCTGTATGCTGATTTCATTTCCTTAGGCATATGTCCAGAAGTGGCATGTTTGGGTTTTTTCCCTTATATGTGGGAATAAAATGTCCTGAAAGTAGAAAGGGCCAGGGAAGGAGAAAAAAACCTTCTTTTCTGCAGAACAGTGTGGAACAGGATGCTGGGGTGTGATGCCTAATCTTGATTGTCAGCTTATGGAATTTAGAGTCGTCATGGAAACAACCCTCTAAACATGTTTGTAAGGGAGTTTCTAGATTAGGTTAACAGAGGTGGGAATATCCACCCGACAGTGAGTAGTACCATTACATGGGCTTGAAGAGGAAGTGAGCAGAGCACAGATTTATCATGCTCTGCTTCCTGACTGTGGATACAATGTGACCTGCTACCTCCTGTTCCTGCTTGCACACCTCCCCTGCCGTGATGGGCTGTATCGCCTGGAAGTGTAAGCGAGAATAAACTTCTTTCCTTAAATTACTTCTGCCAGATATTTTGTTACAGCAGTGAGGCAAGTAACTAAAACATGGAGCAAGAGAGGATCCAGGGAGGGTGGACGGAGTGGCACAGTAAAACCTCTGGCTTCTACAATTAATGTGCATTAATATTGAGAAATTTAGAGTGTGTTAAGAGAATGAGTGGTAGGTCAAACTGAGAAAATTGTCGCCATCTCCATATGTTAAAGTGTGAAGGGACAGAAATTAAGACTGACTAACTGGTATAAAAAGGGGGACTATTTCTTGGGAGTGGGGGACTATTTTACATCAAGTTGTTTTTTTTTGTTTTTTTGTTTTTTTTCCTGAAGCTGAGGACTGAACCCAGGGCCTTGTGCTTGCTAGGCAGACTGAGCTAAATCCCCAACCCCCTCCCCCCTTTTTTAAAAAGGATAGTTTGGGTGTCTTTCTCCTGCAGGTTGGTATTCAGATAGCAGCCACATATATCCAGTAAGAAAAGCCATTATGAACAGACTGAAGTTAGCCACTCAGAGAAGCTAGTGTGTTTGTCACTACTAAGAAACTTTTGTAAAAGTTATACATTACTGCAGATTAGAATTACAGTTACTAAATAAGACAATGTTTGAGAGCCTTGGAATTGAAGGGTATTAGGGCTCATCACCTAACGGAGAATTCTGTTAGATGTATGATCACATGCTTATTTCGTAGTGCTGGTTATCGAACCTAGGACTTGGGCATACTAGGCAAATGCTCTACCACTGAGCTAAATGCACCTCCAGCCCAAACACACGTATTTTTAACACTCAAGTAATAAACTCAACATTCGTAGTTATTGGGCCTAATTAGAGTAGGTGATTTTAGTTGGAATCAAAGAGTTAAGATGAGCCTCTTGTTCATCTTTCTGTAGTCTTCTGCATCTGTCAGGAATACAGAACAGATTCATAAAACAGTTGCTTTCAGAGAGAGATACTGGAACCCCAACTTCATTCTAAGTGCAGGATGTCTCTAATTCCCCTGAAACGGGGGAAAAGAAACACTCAAACCTTATCTTTGATAAAGGTAGGAGACATGAGCAGGTGGCCCTCAGTGTATATATATGGAAGCAGATGGAGGAATAGCAGCTCACTTTGCAGAGCAGAGAAAGGGGCCAATGAAGAGCTAACCATGTCTGTGCCCTGCCCCATCCCTCTCTAATAGGCTTAGGTAGTGGGGCCTGTTTGGGGGATGGGGGAAGCTACAGTGAAGGGGGCCTGAGAACAGGTTCTTTGTTTGGATGTCTTTTAAAACAAAACAAAACTCTAGTCTCTGTCTCCATCTGGCTCATGTGGGCAGCCACCCTTCCCCCAGCCCAGCAGGGAATGGGATGTGTGGCGTGTCCAGAAATAGAAACTAACACTAATCCTGGAGAAGGGAAGGAATGAAGCGTGAAACTGAAAAGGAGGATTAAAGGAGAATCTGAATACTGAACAGAGCCCTGTCCTGTGCAGCCCTGTCCTGTGCAGGGAACCTGCAGCCAGCTGCAGCCAGCAGTAGGTGGGTAGAGCCTGATTACCCTCGAGAACTGAGGAATGATACTGACATCTGGATATTCCACTAGGGCCTCCCAACCCAAGAGGGTACAACCATCCTCTTTAGTCCCTCTTTTAGAACAGTAACAGACAGCCCAAATTACTTAGTATTTGAGAATTATCAGACAGAAAAAGAAACAAGTAATGCAAAACTCAGGAGAAAACCTTTTTTTTTTTTTTTTTTTTTTTTTTTTCCCCTCAAGACAGGGTTTCTCTGTATATCTCTGGCTGTCCTGGAACTTTCTGTAGACCAGACTGGCCTCAAGCTCAGAGATCTGCTTGCTTCTGCCTCTCTAGTGCTGGCATTAAAGGCATGAGCCACCACCACCCGGCTAACTTTAAAAAAAGAAAGGCAAAAAAATCAGCGAATTTAAAAAGCAGTAATAGTGAAATTGATGTGGCAATCTCACTTGTAAACTTGTAATCTCAGCATTTCAAGAGGATGGCAGGTCCCAGGCCACCAGCCTGGACTGCATACTGAGCCACTTTCTAAAAAAAAAAAAAAAATCAAGAGTGGGAGAGAAAAACCAAAAAAGTGAGAAAAGACCTGATGCATGCCTCATCACCACCAGATCTGTGGCCACACTTGAGCCACAGCCATTTAGTCCTGGATCATGAGAGAGGGTTTTTGCTGTAGTTATGCTAATATCTGTGCTGTAGTTTTTATGCATTTGTTTTATTTGCTCTGTGGTAAAGATTTGAATAAAAGTGTACTCAGGTGAAAAGGTAGGAAGCAGACAAGCCTCTGAAGACTAAGGTTCATATGATACTCTTGCTTAAAAAGCTTGGCAGCCCAGAGGTGTCCTAGCTTTGTGTTTGTGGTATTCACAGCTTCTTCCTTCCCCTGTCTGCTCGCTCCCCTGCATTGCATACACACCACTTTCCAGAGGACGACGATAAGAGAGGATTATTGTGTCCATTTCTTCACATGCATTGGTACTTTTTCTCTGGGAAAGGACACGTGACATTGCTGATGCGTAGATAAGGAGAGCAGGACTCAGATGGGACAGTGCTTGGGAGCCCTGCATGAGTTTATCAGCCTTGCTGAGTCCCGGCTTCTTAGTTTGTAGCAGTTGTCTTTGCCCCTCTTGCCATAAAATAAAAGCATGAGAGTTTTTTATTCAAACCACAAGGTATATCAAGAGTTGTGTGGTTTTTTTGTTTGTTTGTTTTAGTTTTGGGTTTGGGGTGGGGGGCTAGAGATGAAACCCAGAGCCTGTGCATGGTAGGCAAACATTGAGCTACATATCAAACGTCAAGGAGTCTTTTAGTTATGTTGGCCTCTTTTTTTTCCCCTTCCAAACACCCTCATATAAATATTACTTATTTAGAAGTATGTGTATTATACATTTGCTTAGTGCCAGCAGTTGTAGTACACTGTTAGATTCTATTTATTTTTATACTTACTATTTTATTTGTGTGTATTTTGTGTTTTGCTTGCATGTGTGTCTGGGCACCAGGTGTGTGCCTGGTGGTGGCTGTCAGATTTCCCTGGGACTGGAATTTCAGACAGTTGTAAATGACCACATGGGTGCTGGAGTTGGACTTGTGTACTCTGGAAGAGCTGAGCCATTTCTCCAGCTCCAAATACTTGGATTGTAAATCTCTTCAGTGTTCTGAGCTGATGCTCCAAACAATATTTTGGGGAAGAAGTCACCATTGAGCTGACAGTGGACAAGGTCTGAATGCATACTGTGCTGACTACTGGATGTTAACGACAGAAGCTGTTTGTAGACAGATGCAGTGTCCTAGGGAGTTCCTAGTTATGCTGAAATACACTTAGGATACTTTTCTATTTTCTAGTGGTTCTCAACTTTCCTAATGCTGTGGCCCTTTAATACAGTTCCTCTCCTTGTAGTGACCTCAACCCTAAAAATTATTTTCATTGCTACTTCATAACTGTAATTTTGCTACAGTTATGAATCATAATTAAACATCTGTGTTTTCTGATGGTCTTAGGCAACCCCTGTGAAAGGATTGTTCAACCCCCAAGGGGGTCATTACCTGTAGGTTGAGAACCACTGCTCTAGAAACATGCAGAAGTACAATTAATGGTGTGTTAATGTTTTTTACTTTGCAGATGAATTTTTCTGTAGCACTTCATAAGATATACTTTGACTTCTGGGATCTTCAACTTAGTCTAGGGAGCTGTTTAGAGTAACTTGTTCCCAGGCCCAATTTCAAAATCATGTGTTCCCTTGAGGATTTTCATTTCCTCCTTCTCTTGGTCATGTTCAACTGAGTGCTAGTACATTAATTATTCATTGTTGGGGTGGAGACTTTTGGAAACTTTGTTTTGTTTCTTGTTTTTTTTTGTTGTTGTTGTTTTTTGTTTTTTTGTGTCTCACCCTGTAGCCTTGACTGTCCTAGAACTCAACTATGTAGACTGGGCCGATCTGGAACTCTGAGGTAGGACAACCTCTGCCTCCCCAGAGTGCTAGTCTAAAGGTGTGTGATACCATGCCTGGCCTTGGAAGTTGATTTTATATTTGAACAATTTCAACAGTGTGGCTATTCAGATGCCTTAGCTCCTATAGTAGTATTTAATTGTCTAAACAAATGCATGTGATATAAATAGGTGTAATTAAAGAGCCCCTTATGACTTGTAGACAGCTATCTGCAGAAGTGCTTTGTGAAGTATATAGTCCCAGTCCCTTAAGGGGGCATTTATAAATTTCATAGAAAATGTACCTTTAATCCCAGCACTTAGAAGGCAGAGGCTGGTGGAGCTCTGTGAGTTTGAGGCCAGGCTGGTCTACACATATCAAACTCCAGGCCAGTCAAGGCTTCATAAGGAGACCCTGTCTCAAAAGAAAAAAAGTTGTTTTTGTTGTTGTTAGTTTTTGTTTTTTTGATGAAAGCTTCAAGTGTAACAATATTTGTATTTAAAATACAAAATTTAATTTTAAGTACAAATATTATTTGGGGGCTAAAAAATATTACCAGGGACTAAAAAAAAATGTTTATAAGCTTAAATTATAGAGGTTTGCAAATACGTGAAGTCTATAAGATTAAAGGGAAAACTGATAGAACTGATGTTTAGTCAAAGATACCATGAGCAAAGTAAGAATTCACAGGGAAAGTGCTTATGGTAAAGAAACTAGTTAATAGAGAAGCTCCTGCAGATCAGTAAATTACAACTGAACAGCTCAAGAGAAGTGAGAGAATATACAAAGCTCATGAAGTGAATGCAGGTGCCTAATACCCGTACAGAACTTTGTTTCTCAATAATTAAATTCAAATTCAAACAAGGTCTAGTTATCTACTAATTAGCAACTAATTAGGTTAATAGAGTGATGTATCAGTTAAGGTCTGTTGAATGAAATACCATTTGAGGCACTTCTTGGTCCCAAAGTAATTGTTACAGGGGATTATTTTCACAAATGTCGGAAGACAGAAAGAGCTCAGTGGAGATGTTGCAGTGACTTAGACATTGGAGACAGCACGAAGCAGCTTCACTCGGGGTTAGAAGAGAGAGGGAAAATGTAGTACAGAGCCTTGGATTGTGGAGGAGCAGCTACCAGGAAACTATGAAATAACGTTTCAGACTCCAAGCCCCCAAGCTTAAAGACTTTAAAGCAGTGGATGTATATGTAGCACAGATGCTAATAACAGTACTGGTGAGCGTAATTAGAGACCTTGTATATACAATTGGGAAGAAGCTTTTGTATAGGGATTCAGTATTAGGGAAGACAATTTATAATGCAAAAGTTGAGTTTCTTTTTCTTTTTGTTGTTTGTTTGAGATAGGGTCTCACTATATGGCCCTAGCTGGCCTGGGATTCCTTTGTAGTCCAGGCTGATATTGAACACAAAGAGATCCACCTGCCTCTGCCTCCTGAGTCCTGGGTTTACAGGCATGTGCCACCACCATACCTGACCCAAAACAAATTTTTTTTAAAAATCAGAATTTTTTAAAATGCTTCTTAAAATAATTTTATTAGTTAGTATGGGTATTTTGCTGGCATGTATGTCTGTGTACCACTTGTATGCAGTGTTCTCAGAAGCCAGAAGAGGGTGTTGGATCCCCTGGAACAGGAGTTACAGACAATTGTGAGCTGTCATATGGGTGCTGGGAATTGAACACAGGTCCTCTGGAGGTGTAGCCAGTGCTCTTAACTGCTGAGACCTCTCTCCAGTCTCCCCCAAAGAAAATTATCCCATAGAAATACTGGTCAAAGTGTGGAGGAAAGTGCTCAAGTGATGTTTCATTGTAATGTTCTTTTTCTTTGTTTGTTTGTTTGTTTGTTTTGAGATAGGGTTTCTCTGTGTAACAGCTCTGGCTGTCCTGGAACTCACTGTGAAGACCAGGCTGGCCTTGAACTCATAGAGATCTACTTGCCTTTGCCTCCCGAGTGCTGGGATTGAAGTATGTATGCATCATGGGAGTCAGTAAACATCAGTGACTCACTATTTAATGGTATATGCATTTAATGAAAACTGGTCACGATAGTGATGAAAGCAGTGTTTTATATGGCCTGTGTATTTTGTGAAATCCAAGAGTTGTAGTGTTGAATATGGTTAGGACTTTTGCAGCTGTTCTCTACATAATTTAAAGGTAACAACTATATTTCATATACTTTTTTTGACAGTTATGAATGCGGGAATGAGAAAATACTTCCTACAAGCCAATGATCAGCAAGACTTAGTGGAGTGGGTAAATGTCTTGAACAAAGCTATAAAAATTACAGTAAGTATGTATTTAAAATTTTTTTTCCTTTATAGAAGTAATCTTTACATTTTTAAAGTGTGTCTGATATCCTCAACTTACCAGCATGTTGCATATTCAAGCTTGGTTTAAAAGATGGGTTCTGAAGTGAGCCTTTTTTTGTGCATGGAGATGATCAGCCTGTGAATGCCTTTTACTGTGTCCCTAGTAAGGAGTCACATCACTGTTTATGCTGATTGTGTTTTTGTTTTACATCTAGAGTAGGATAAGAGGCTTTGGACCACTTACTTTGGGGATGGGCACAAGCATTCTCCTTTTCTAAGCCTTGTCAGGCAAAGGAGAAGACGGGTGTGAACAAGGGAAGGCTCAGGTCTAAAGATTGAGTCTGAAGAGCTGTGGTAACCAGAGGATCCTGTCTGTGCTATAGGAATGTCTGAGGCTATAACCTCCTTCTCTCATCTGCCCTTTTCCCTGGAGTTCCAGGACCTGCTCCTCTTCCCTCCTGCTGAGGCTACTCTTAAACTCTTTTAAAATGAACATCAGTACTTACTTACACTGTGCCAGCAGACAGGCTTTAGATGGAAGGCTTTCCCTCAGCTTTCCGCAAAGGTTGAGTGACTTGTACAGACTTCAGCACTGGTAAGCTATGAAGCTGGAACCCAGGCAAGCTTGTTTGTCCCTGGGCCCTGAACTCGGCAGTGCAATGAGCAAAGCCAAGCTTTTCTGAGCAAGTTGCTGCTGCTGCTGCTGCTGCTGCGCCCATGAACTGCCTTGCTGTAGCTTTCATCCTTAGACAAAGTAGGCTACTTGGAAGGGGCTGGGAAGGAACTCCTCCTGTGTGAGGTTTTAATGCATTAAAGTTTGTTTTTAGTGAACTATAGTTATTTACTGGTCCTAATCTACTCTCGGTCAAAGAGCATGTTCTCGGGAAATCAGTTGCATATAGATTTCATCTAAAGTGAACGATTTTATGTCCGTGCCACACAGCAGCAGCGTTAAGCTAGTCAACCAAGGCTGTACTTAGTTAGGTCAAATTTTTTGTCTTGCACCAGAACAGTTTGTTACCACATGACAGAAAACGCCTACACACCACATCTGAGCTGTATGTGAAGCAGAAGTTATTTTAGGGCTTGTGCAGTTTCAGGATAACAATATTTTGAGCAGATTCAGAAGTTTATGTTCTTACAAGGTTTTAGCTGATCATTTTGAACTCCTAATAAATATTCCCTGCCTGGAAGATGTCTTTATGAAGTCTGTATGTAGTACTTTACTGCATTTGTTTTTCATAGTCTGTAGTAATAAGCAGAACTGGCTTCTTTTAGTGATTTAAAGAAAAGTGGAATTAATAGAAATAATGTTCTAATCATTTTACCAAGTTGGAATGTCTTGAATTGTTCTCCCATTTATTTTTGGGACTAAATATTTCTTCGTGTCATTGCAAGCTTTTCAGCAGGAAGGAGAAACTGGTAAAATTTAATTAGCTTTAATTAGCTCTTGGGATCTTGCAGCTTTATTTTATATGACATTTTTACTATTTTTAGATAAATCTGGATAATGATTTTTCTGATTTTATAATTCATATTTAGAAAATATAAAGTAAAATACAGAAATCATCAGTAAAGTAATTATAAATGCAGTGATGTAAATATAGAACTGGTAATTGACTGGAGTCAATTTTAGGTAAACATAGGGAAGTGAGAGAATTCCCAGGCTTTAATAAGATGTATTTTATTGGGGCCGGAGATATGGCCTAGTGGTTAAGAGCACTGGCTGCTCTTGCAAAGGACTAGGGTTTGGTTTCCTATACCCACGTGACTGCTCACAATTGTCTATAACTCCAGTGCCGGGGGACACGGTAACTTCTTCTGGCCTACACAGGCACCAGGCATGTAGGTGGTACACAGACCTGCAGGCAAAACGCCCATACACATAAAAAATTTTAAAAAGGGGGTGGGGGCTGGAGAGATGGCTCGGTCAGTGGTTAAGAGCACTAGCTGTTCTTCCAGAGGTCCTGAGTTCAATTCCCAGCAACCACATGGTGGCTCACAACCATCTGTAATGAGATCTGGTGCCCTCTTTTGGCCTTCATGCATACATGCAGACAGAACACTGTATACATAATAAATAAATAAATGAATGAATGAATGAATAAATAAATAAATCTTAAAAAAAATAGCCAGGTGGTAGTGTTGAACATCTCTAATTCCAGCACTTGGGAGGCAGAGGTAGGCGGATCTCTGTGAGTTCGAGGCCAGCCTGGTCTACAAAGCGAGTTCCAGGACAGCCAGAGCTACACAGAGAAACCCTGTCACTGTGTGTGTGTGTGTGTGTGTGTGTGTGTGTGTGTACAGTTAAAAATAGATATTTTGTTAAATTTTTTAAAGATTTTACCCATTTAGACATCATAGGCATTTTGCACATTTAAGTATATTGGAGTGTGATATGTCTAATTTTGTATCTAAATAGCTAATGATTTACATATAGGATCTTTGAAAGATGTATATTTCCATTTTAGTACATGTATAGTTTTCCTTCCTCTGCAGTCATTCCCAAATGATATTTTGATCAACTATAGTTTAGTGATCTGCTGAGTACTATGTCATCTATACACCTAAAACATACAGAAATTTAAAAGTGGAGTTTTCCAGAGTGATTTCACCTTAGAGATTGTTAGAGCATTGTGGCTAAGAGTATGGTGATTAGTTACTGTTCCGACTGTAGTAGTATATCACCTAGTGTACTGCTTTTCACGGCAATAGTCTGTCTTTCCTTACTTTCCCTGTCTGTCACATTGTAAATTCTTTCCTAAATAGTTAAAGAAGAAGAAGAAAAAAAGACTTTTAAAAGGTCAGTATTAGAAGAAATATTCTTGAAGGACATTTTCAGTGACTTGAGTTTGGAAAAACCAAAATTGGAAGCCTGCTTTCAAATGTGTATTTGTCTACTATCAGTGTAGTGGTTCCTGGACCCTTACTGGTTTAAAGAGTAATGAAGATGCCCATAGTTTTTGCCTAAGCAGAAGTTCACTATTTCTAAAATGTCTTTTTCCACCGTAACTACTTCTTCTTCTTTTTTTTTTTGGTTTTCGAGACAGGGTTTCTCTATGTAGTTTTTGTGCCTTTCCTGGAACTCACTCTGTAGACCAGGCTGGCCTCGAACTCACGGAGATCCGCCTGCCTCTGCCTCCCAAGTGCTGGGATTAAAGGCGTGTGCCACCACCGCCCGGCCCCACCGTAACTTATAATTTAAAAGTCTACATTAGCTTTTAATCTAAAAACTCGTCTTTTAAAATAGTAACAGAAACTCCACAAGGATTTTTTTTTTTTAATGGCAACTGGGAGAAGTCAGCTGAACATGATCTAAAGAATGAATGACCTTGCTGCCCTGCAGTGTTAACCAAGCCTTTGCCAGCCGGCCAGCTCAGATGGAGAGACTGCAGGTCTTGCCACCAAGGAATTTATCTAACACTTAGATTCTGTCCTCCAGCTCTGCCCTCATTCCTGGTTAGCTGAATTTCACTCCCCTGTAACTTTTGAGAGGCCTGTAGCCTTTTATTTATTTCAGTCATAAATGTCTGTTTTGCTCAAATCTTCCTTCTCTAGTCATTATTTTCTTTTCTAATATTGGGACATTGTATTGGGGTCATAGTAAATGCCTGCTAAGAGTGTGTTCAGACCCCTCCCAAGAAATAGTCACATAAAAAGCAGGGAAGAAGCAATAGAGCAGAGCCCTGTGAGTTGACTATTTGATGCTCATTAACAGTTGGCTGATCTGCAGGTGGGGTGTATGTGTTAGGGTGGGGGTTCTTTATCTTGGATTTGACTCACTTTTCATTAAGAGTTTTTTGTAAATTCTAAGGGAGTTACTCTATATCTGGATCGTTTACTTGTACTTTTTTTGAAAGCAAGGTAATTGTAACTTTTGTAACCGTTGGTTTGAGTGGGGGTTGTACTTGCCCAGACTTCATTGTGAAGGTTGCCAGGCTGTCAACAGTGGGCCAGCTGCACAGAAAAGAATTTTTGGTATGATATGTTTCTGAGGAGAGTGGGGAAGGTAGCATGTACTAGTGTATTTTAAAGTTTCATGAGAGCCTTTTCTTTAGCTGTCCTCGTGAGTAGCAGAACCCTTACCTGGAGGACAGCCGCTGCTCTTCTTGCAGGTCACCACAGAGTGGCAATTTCAGGTCATCTCTGTGGCTTCAGGTTTTCTTACTGCTGTTTTCTGTTTTCAGTGAGTTGACAGGACCACACTTTGCAAAATGACTGAAATAAATTATGTGATTCTAGAAAATGTACTAGATTTCATCTGCAGATTGTTCTAGGGTGTGGTATCTTAATTTTAGCCAACAACTAACACTTTGTCCACTATTATAATCACCTTTAAAAAGCACTCAAGAGTGAGCCCTCTTAGGATCACAGGCATTCAGGATTCACCTCCTTACCTTTCTTCCCTTTCCTTTCCTTTTTTTTCCCCTTCCTTCCCTTTTTCCCTTTCTCTTTCTCTCCCTACCCCCTCTCTGTTTTGGTTTTTCTAGGTTAGGTTTCTTTGTGTATCCCTGGCTGTCCTGGAACTCACTGTAGACCAGGCTGACCAATAAGTTAGAGATTCACCTGCCTCTGTCTCCCTAGTGCTGGGACTAAAGGCACATGCCACCAGTGCCAGGCTCCCTTTCTCTCTTCCTCCTGTTTCCACCAGTGGTTGATACTGTAGGGGGGTATGTGTTTGAAGCTGGAGGGTGTTGCCAGGGCCCAAGAGAAAGCCTGACAAGGGGGGCAGTGGGAGAAAATGATATTACCTAAGATGTAAGCCATTTTTACCCATGGATAGTTAGTTATGTTCATGAGTATGTATGGATTGAGATCTTCTCATGCACACAGCCCATGCTTATTCAGTACTTTGAAAAGAACATCTTTGTCAATAAATCCTTGTCTGCATTGTCCCCCAGCTCTTCTCCAGATCTGGTGAGTGCAGTGTCGTGTGCAATGAGAGTACAGTGTAGTTTGTGAAACACTGTCCCTCAAAAGCACCTGTTCCTTCCGAAACTGCAGTTTGAGGGGAATGTTCTAGAGACTCATTCTGGGCATGGAGCCTGGGAATTACAGCTTTTAGTGATGTTCTGGGTGATGTCTTGTGTCTATTCCCTGCCTTGGATGGAATCACATTAGTACATGTAGGGCCTTTGACTACAGTGTTGATAGTTTCTCTGTAGTTCACAGGTGATGGACAAATGACTTAATTTTAACTTAGACATTTTTATACATTACCGTTGTGTTTGTCATTCTTATTGTTGGTAATGTTTCTGAATGACTGTGAGGATTCCTAAATAAAATGTCTTTTTTTTTTTTTTGGTTTTTCGAGACAGGGTTTCTCTGTGTAGCTTTGCGCCTTTCCTGGAACTCACTTGGTAGCCCAGGCTGGCCTCGAACTCACAGAGATCCGCCTGGCTCTGCCTCCCGAGTGCTGGGATTAAAGGCGTGCGCCACCACCGCCCGGCTAAAATGTCTTTTAAATCGTACTCAGTATGTTATTGATGCCGAGTGTGATTATTTCATTTTATTGTACAAGCTTGGCTAGAATGTAGTACAGCAGGGATCTCAACTGCTGCCTCTAAGCCCTGCTTCCTTCTCAAACTGTGTATGAAGTAGTGACTGCACAAGCAGTAGGTGGTGTTGGCTGTATGTGGTGTTGGCTATATCCTGAAGTGTTGTCAGACTGGAACAATCTGAGAGCTTCGGTTACAATATTGTAAATAGATTGTCATTTGTCATTTATCTACAGACAGCTAGTTAAAAATTCTGTGATGATGGAGAGGGTTGCAAGTACAATTCTGGTTGCATGATAATTCATCTCACTCTTCCAGGTACCAAAGCAGTCAGACTCACAGCCGGCTTCTGACAGCCTGAGTCGCCAAGGTGACTGTGGCAAGAAGCAAGTGTCCTACAGAACTGATATTGTTGGTGGTGTTCCCATCATCACTCCAACTCAGGTAACAAATAAATGCTTCTGTTGAATGTAGTTCTCATGACTGCATATCGATATTTGTATTTTCTTTTTCTTTTTTTCTTTTTTTTTTTTTTGGTATTTCAAGACAGGGTTTCTCTGTATAGCTTTAGAGCTTGTCCTGGATCTTGCTGTGTAGACCAGGCTGGCCTCGAATTCAGAGAGATCCGCCTGGCTCTGCCTCCCAAGTGCTGGGATTAAAGGTGTGTGCCACCATTGCCCAGTGATATTTATATTTTCATCATAACTGAAACAGAATGTCTTTGTGAGTCAATTCAGTATTTATTAACTACAAAAGCTTTTAATTTAGTTTCCTATTCTGAAAATGTTTTGCAAACTTTTGTATGTTTATTGTAAAAAAGATCGGAAGTTACACAGATAAACACTGGATCCTTCTCTGAGCTGAGTTCTTTGTATTCTCCCTACAGAAGTGGAGATGGGAGTTACATGTTAGACTTTATAGCAGAATATCTTACATCAGTCATCAGAAGTTATTCTCTGTCACTTGTAATGGCTGGAGTTCTTCTGTGGATTTGCCATAATTTATAAGCCTCTATTAATAGAGAAATGGAGGGCTTTTTAAAATTTTATTTAACAATGTTGGGATGAACATTCATGTATCTTAAACTTTAGAGATTAACACTAGGGGCTGCCACATGCTAGGCTAGAGCCTTACCACTGAGATATATCTTAGTTCTTTTTAGAGTTGCCCTAGTTGTCCTCAAATCTGCTTTGTAGCTCAGACTAGCCTGATGTTATAAGATTTCTTCCTCCTGCCTCTGCTTCCTGAGCAGCTGAGGTTGCAGGTCTACACCAAGATAAATTAATGCTTGGAAGTAAAGTTGCTGGGTTAGAGTCTGCAAATATGTGTAACTTTTTTAAACTTGTGACCTGGGGACTGCAATCCTGACTGGATTGTATCCTAAAAGTACTGATGTGCCTAGGTATTAGGAAAAATAAATTTATATAATTTAAAAGATGAACTTGAAACTTTTATATGAACTTACTTATTGAGGAAATACACGTTTAATGCAAATTAAATTAGTAATAGTTGAGAAACGAGAATTTAAAGTGATGACTATGTGCCAGTATTGAATATTCGCATTACTTTTGTCTTTTTTTTTTTTTTTTTTTTTTTTTTTTTTTTTTTTTTTTTTGGTTTTTCAAGACAGGGTTTCTCTGTGTAGCTTTGCGCCTGTCCTGGAACTCACTTGGTAGTCCAGGCTGGCCTCGAACTCACAGAGATCCGCCTGGCTCTGCCTCCCAAGTGCTGGGATTAAAGGCGTGCGCCACCACCGCCCGGCTACTTTTGTCTTTTTATCTTAAAAGATTTTGATGCTTTGTAGACACCTCCCCACCCGCCCCCCAGGACAGGGTTTCTCTGTGTAGCCCTGACTGTCCTGGAACTCACTATATAGACTAGACTGGCCTCAAACTCAGAGATCCCCCACCTCTGCCTCTGGAGTTCTGGGATTAAAGCTGGCCACCACCATCATCTGGCATAGACTTTTAAAATTTTAACAGATAACATATTTTTTCAAGCCTTCTGCTAGGTGATTGTGGTTAGTGGGAAGAAATCTTATAACATCAATAAACTAACTTGAGTATCTTTCTCTATGCTTTTCAAAGTGTATATAATAGCACCAGTCTCTACTCTAGGGGGAGTTTACAGTTATTTATTTATTTTTTTTGGTCAAAGTGGAATCTAAAAAAAAAAAGGAAGAAGAGAGAAGGGTTTGGAGGGATTGCTTTATCTAAAAGTAATGATTTTAGCCTGCTAAATGTGTAGTTGATGAGTAGCTGGGCCGAACTTTCTCCCATACTATGACCTGTGTTGGCTATTGGTGGATAAGTTTATGAAGACACTATTGCAGTTTGTGTGGCTGTTGGTGGATAGATGAGTTAAGACTCTAGCAGTTTGTATGACTTTGTAGATTAGATTCTCCACATGTCATTTTTAAAACATTTCAAATAATGCTATTTATTATAATGCAGAATTTTATTTTATTTTATTTTTTTTTTTTATTTATTTTTTTTTTTTTTTGGTTTTTCGAGACAGGGTTTCTCTGTGTAGCTTTGCGCCTTTCCTGGGACTCACTTGGTAGCCCAGGCTGGCCTTGAACTCACAGAGATCCGCCTGGCTCTGCCTCCCGAGTGCTGGGATTAAAGGCGTGCGCCACCACCGCCCGGCTATAATGCAGAATTTTAAATTACAAAGTAGCACTGCCAGTGGTGGCACCTTTAATCCCAGCACTCAGGAGGCAGAGGCAGGGGAATCTGTGAGTTCCAGGCCAGCCTGGTCTATAGAGTGAGTTCCAGACTACTGAGACTGTTACACAGAGAAACCCTGTCTTGAAAAACCAAAACGGAAAAAAAAAATTTACAAAGTAGCATTTAGACAATATAGAATCAACAAAATGTAAAATAAATCTCATTGGGATGATTAATTTATTTAGAATCTATTGGGCAAATGTTAAGTGATTAATTAATGTTGTTGACCTGTTTAAATGTAGAACAGATTGAAAATACCTCATGATACACCTGACAGTTGACTTAATTGTTCTTTTGCGTTTTAAAAACATAACTGACTTATTTATGGGATTGTAGTGTGTGGATGCTGTAAATAGCCAGGAAGTCTTGGGTATGGCTAAGGATTTGTTAACATTGAGCTTTAAAACATAAAAACCATGGCACTTTCAGGAGCAAGCATGGGAAAAAAAATCTGCAGGTTAAGGATTAGGCAAAGAGCCTTTGAGTTGACATCAAGCACATTATCCATCAAAGAAGACTGATAATTTCACATCATCAGTATTTCAAATGCTTGTTTTGTGAAAGACCCTGTTCAGAGAATGACTAGAAAACAGACTAGCCAGCTGTGATGGTGCACACCTTTAATCCCAGCACTTGGGAGGCAGGGGCAGGTTCTCTGAGTTTGAGGCCAGCCTGGTTTACAGAGTGAGTTCCAGGACAGGCTCCAAAGCTACACAGAGAATCTCTGTATTGAAAAACAACAAACAAACAAAAAAGATAGACTAGAAGAAAGTTTACAAGCTACTTATCCAGTTAAGGACTTTTATCTACAGAAAGAACTCTCAAAACTCAGTAGTTAGCAAACCAAAAAAAAAAAATCCTTAAAAGTCGACAAAATTCATAAATAGACACTTAACTAAAAAATGAAATATGAACTGATAGGCACTAGGAAAGATGGTTGCCATCTCTAGCCAGTAGAAAAAATTTCAAATTAAGGACACAGTTAAATATCACACTCAAGTAGAGATGCTTGGAATTCTCATCTGTTGCTGGTGGAGATGTAAATAAAACAGTTCAGCCCCTCTTAAAAAAACATTTGGGGCCCGGTGGTGGTAGTGCATGCCTTTAATCCCAGTACTCAGGAGGCAGAGCCAGGAGGATCTCTGTGAGTTTGAGGCTGCCCTGGTCTACAGAGTAAGATCCGGGACAGGCACCAAAACTACACAGAGAAACCCTGTCTCGAAAAATGAAAAAAACAAAAACAAAAATAATTCGGTGTGGTAGTTTTCTTGTTGTCATCTTTGAGTAAATTTGTAGTTACTCTACAGCCTCGTATGTACTCTCCTAGTCGTTTATCCTAAAGAAGTGGGTAATTATGGCCACACAAAAACCTGTATGTGGATACTTACAATAGCTTCATTCCTAGTTGCCAGAAGCTGGAAATAACACACACTGTTAATTGGGTAGGTGGTCAGCAGCGTGATATGGTGGTACACCCACAGCACTGGATATAGCAGTATAGACGATGAACTGTTGACACCAAGAGCCACCTGAATGAGCCTTCAGAGAGTTATTTTGAGTGAAATTTAAAAAAAAAAAATTTCAAAAGATCCTTAATGTGTGCTTCGTTTGTATTCTCAAAAAGTCAGAACAAATGAATGGGAGTGCTCAAGGGCAGCACAAGCAGGCCCTGTGACAGTGAGCAGTTCTTTGTGTTGATTATAGAGATTGTTGTTGAGCCTGTAGTCGGATTTTCCTTTGGGCCACCAGCTCGCAAGTAGTGACATGGAGACTCCTTATTAATTATGAAAGCTCAGCCTATAGCTTAGGCTTGTTTCTAACTAGCTCTTATTACTTAAATTAACCCATTTATATTAATCTAAGTTCTATCACTTGGTGTTACCTCTCTTCCGTTTTTCACCTCCTGTTTCTTCTCTGTGTCTCTTGGCATATACCCTGTGCCTCGATTATCTCCTCCTACTTCCTCTCTCTGCCCTGAAGTTCCACTTATACTTCCTGCCTAGCTATTGACCATTCAGCTCTTTATTAAACCAATCACAGCAATATATCTTCACATAGTGTACAGATATCCCACAATAGCAGCTGCATGTGGTAGTATCACATATGGACAAAAGAGTGCATGTATAACTATTAAAATCTGAATAAAGTTTATGGATGCTTGGTTTGGGTAATGTACCCTAGAAATATGCACTTCCCCTTTGTGAAGAATTTGGTTGAAGGGTATACAGGACCTCTGTTACTTTTTATATTTATTGTAACTTCCTGCGAATCTGTTTAAATTATTTTAATATGAAGTGTCCCACCCCAAGAAAAAGCACTAATGACAGTTTTGCAAAACTATAGAAGTGGATGTTTGTGGTTTGATCAATGGCAAGAAAGTTGTGATTGAGTGTCACAAATTTTAAGATTTTCTAAGATAACATTAAATGAAAGTATATTTTAAAGCAAGAAAATAATTTTTTTTGCTTCATTTTAGAAAGAAGAAGTAAATGAATGTGGTGAAATTGTTGACAGAAACAATTTGAAACGGTCCCAAAGCCATCTTCCCTACTTTGCTCCTAAGCCACCACCAGACAGTGCAGTTATCAAAGCTGGGTATTGTGTGAAACAAGGAGCAGTGGTGAGTAGCTTAACCAGACCTGTGAAGTTGGGCAGGGCATGTGCCAGCAAGCTTGCAAGTCAGAATTCAAGTTGTGTGCTTTGTTTTTGAAAAGCCTGAGTGGAGAGCAATCTGTTGCTGGGAAGGGTAGAGAAGGGTTGCTCCATGTTTATCACACAGCACAGTTGTTTCCTTGGTCTTTGGGCAGCTGGGTAAGTTAATGTATATTTCCACCAACATTTAGTTGAAATGAACTTTCCTGAGTTTAGGTTTGTGACAGAAAGGGATTTTTGTTTGTTTTTTAATTAAAAACTTTAGTTTGTGTATGCATGTGCATATCTGGGTGAGGGAAAGGGAACATGAGTGCAATGCATGATGCTGTGAGATCAGAAAACAACCTCGTCAGTCCTCTCCTTCCGCCTTCACTTAGATTCCAAGGCTCCACTGTAGGCAAGTGCCTTTCCCTGCTGAGCCATCTTAACCCAGGAAGTTCTGTTGATTCCCACACCCTCAGACAGGGTCAGTGTAGAGCCATAGGAGAAGTGGAAGGACCAGGAGGAGTGGCTGCGAGAGGATAGCTCTGAGGTTGGGCCACCTAATCTCCCAGGCTTCCAGTTTGATTTTATAAACCTATGGTCTGTGGATTTTGAAATAGGTAAATGAGAGGTATAGTTTCTGACACAGCTCCAGGTGCTTCAGCAAGCACCACAGGTGAGTCCAGGTTGTCCCCATTATTAGCGTCATGGTAGATTTCTACAAGACAAATACATTTACCAGTATTTCTAAGACTCCAGATATTTTTCTGCCAGGTGTTGTGGTTCACACCTATACTCTAGTGTTTGGGAGACTGAGGAGGAAAGGAAAGAAAGTTCTAGGTTAACCTGAGCTATATAGCAAAATCTTGGGTTTTTTGTTTTCTTTGATTTGTTTTTGTTTTGTTTTGTTTTTTTGGAGACAGAGTTTCTCTGTGTAGCCCTGGCTGTCCAGGAACTCTGTAGACCAGACTGCTGGCTCTGAACTCAGAGATCTACCTCCAGAGTGCTGGGATTAAAGGTGTGCTATGCCACCACCACCCAACTGATGTTTTTTTTCATTAGCTTTTATGAAGTTTATTCTGTATGAAATAAATCTTGAGAATCTCAAGAGAAGATAAAGTTTAACATTTGAAAACAAAAGGAAAAAATGTGAATAAAGAAATACTTCAAACTCTCCTGGTAATCTGTTCTCCAATTTCTGATAGGTTAGCATGGGAAAATTCTTCCTGCCTGTTGGATCATTGGTTCCAGGGAAAGGAAGATGGGGCCAGAGTTTTCTCAAGATAGGCTCTCTATATAGGTGGAGGCAGAATTTCCCCAGGCTGTGAGGCTTAGTTGTAGGCTAATTAGGCTTTTAAGGAGGTAACCCTTATTCCTAAATCTAAAAAAAAAAAAATCATTTACAGATTTTTTTCCTTAATTTTTTTGAGATTTTATCTATTTTTATTTTATGTATATGTGTGCTTATTTGAATGTACATCTGTGTACCATGTGTGTGGACTGCTAGTGGAGGCCAGCAAGGTAGCGTCGGATCCCCTTAGAACTGGACTTAGAGCTGCCGTGTAGGTGCTAAGAATTGAACCTGGGTCTTTTGGAAGAGCATTGTGAGTTAATGACATTTCCTGTGCTGATCTTTACCTTGTGGGCTGGGCTGGCAATAAGGGAAGGGAATACCTTTTCTTTCCTTTCCATTGTTAGAGATCAAAATCTGAAATACTGTGCTGGAGAGATGGCTCAGCGGTTAAGAGCACTTATATATATATTATATATATATTAGTGGGATCTGATGCCTTCTTCTGGCATGAAGTCATACATGCAGATAGAGGACTCATACATATAGAATAAATAAATCTTAAAAAAAAATCTGAGAGACTGGGGATATTGGCTCAGTGGTTAAGAGCACAGGCTGCTCTTCCAGAGATCCTTAGTTCAATTCCCAGCAACCACATGGTGCTCACAACTGTCTGGAACTCCAGTTCCAGGGGATCTGGCATCTTCACATATACATGGAAGCAGAACATCAATGCACATAAAATAAAGTTTTGAAAAATCTGAAATACCAGAGTCATTCATAAACTCTTGAAAGTGAGCTGCCCAAGACTGAGACCATCATTCAAGATCTAGTTATTAAGGAGAAATGCCATTTACCACTTTCCTCGGGAAGGGTGTGTCGTTTCTGCGTGCTTGGCATTTCTGATTGTGGGTTTTTATTGGAACAACTAAAGGGTGATTAACATTGGACATTCTTTGAAGCCTATGTCTGTGTCTTCTCTGGTAGATGAAAAACTGGAAGAGAAGATATTTTCAATTGGATGAAAACACAATAGGCTACTTCAAATCTGAACTGGTATGCAGTTACTTCGTAAATATACTTTCAAATGCTTAGCAAGTTACACTGTAGTGATTGTATGCTTGTATGCTGTTTTGTTTTTCAAATACTCCGGTTCCGGTTTTGAAGGCATCTGTATTTCAGTCTACTTGGTTGTAATGCATTTGGTTAGTCACATTTTTTTAAATGTGTTTTAAATAAAGCTACCATATCTTCAAGGAAGCATTCCATTTCGGTGGATCTGAAATTATCGCCACCCCTCATATGTACGCCTCTGTCAGAGGGGCATTGGAAGAGGTAGTGAAAGGAATCGCGTAACAGCATCCAGCCCTCTGCACGTCTGCCTTCTCGGCCCTGCTTTTTCATAGCCCTTTCTTTTCCTGTTTCAGATCAACTCTAAGTTGTTTCATTTGAGATACCTTTGTCATGTTCTGAGGGCAGAATCAAAGATCGAGTATTGTCCCCGCCTCCCACCCTGTTTGAGTAATGCTCTGTTTAAGATGTCAGGTAGTCTGAATCTTACAGTAGATATTGCATAAATTAATGAAATTCTCTGCCTCTTCTACAAAAATGTGGACTTTTGTATACTCCATGCTGTATTTGAGGGAAGGCGTCAGAACAGCACTGTCTAGTCGGACTCTCTGCCCTGCTAGATATGTTCCATACCTGTATTGTTCTGTCAGGCTACATGTGGCCTTTGAGTGCTGGTAATGTAACCAATGTGGTAAGGAGGTGAGTTCATCTCATTTTAAAATTAAAGCCAATTTTATCATTTTAGTAGTTCAAATTTATAGTTACTCATGGGCAATGGCTGCTCTATTAGGGATATTTTAAGATTTGTCTTAGGTGTCAGTTCTTTTAGGAAGCTGTTATGGGGTAAAATGGCAGAAGCAACCTGTACCTGGTGTAGACATTCAGAGCCCACATGTGATGAGGAGGCTGTCCTTCCCAGCCTGAAGAACAGAGAGGAAGGCATGCACAGAAGGTGGATAGTGACAGAGGTGAGAATGGTCACACATAGTTGTTGATAAAAGGAGGAAATATATCAAGGATAATAGAGGCCAAGGTTCCTGGTATAAAAGCATGGGTTCTTGATATAACTCAACAAATATGGAACCAGACATCAATATTGTGTCCTCATGTGAGTGCATGTGAGTGTAAAATATACTGTGTCTTGGGAAAATGATCATTTCCCCGCCTGAAAGAAACCTGGACTCCACATATCCATGTGCTCATATAGATAGGACTCAATGTAGTTCATGTAACTACAGTGAGGGACAAGATGCCTAAATAGGAATGAGAGACCAAGCTGTGAAACAAACACTGAGCACAGAGGGAAGAGAGCAGCTGGACAGTGAAGAAGCCTGGCAGGTACCACTTCCATCAGGCAGTCAGGTTGAGTGAACTCCATTGGTGATGAGGATGTTGAAACCACTTACCATCTGACAGGATATCATGAAAGAACACAGCATCAGTTCTGTGCTGCTCCTGTTAAAGGTATTTAGTCACCAGGTGACAGTAGTAGCCACATCCAAGGGAAGGGACAATCTACAAAATAAAGTAACTGTTGTGATCTGCAGGATTCTACGTTCCTCATTCTGGAGGAGTGAGAACTCTTCATACTGAAGGAAAAGAGAGATGGCAAGTGAGCACTCTGCCCCTGTAAGATTGTATGGCGGCCACTTGCTGGCTTTGATGGCCATAACATGAAGACTTTAGGGTAGCAGACTAGAGGTGCAGCTGAGCTTGAAGTGACTGTGTTCTTAAGTCTTTTTGTAAATTTGTGATTATCTCAAGGTTCAAAGAGAGACCGAAAATTGAGGGGAATACCTGGTAGGAAAATAAACAGAAAATCCAAACAACTCATTTAGAAAGAAACTGGGCTGAACGTGGAGCTAAGTGGTAGCATACATAACCAGTGTATCTGAGGCCTTGGGGCCTCAGCACTTCTGAGCGATAAAAATAAACTAAAGTAGTCTTCAGAAGTATGTAACAATTCTCGGTGTCACTCAGGATTAGGGAAATACAGATGTGCACTGCACAGGTGGTACTCATCAATCATGAGGCTGTGGCTGAGTGACAAGATCACAGATCCGCTGTTTCCAGAGAAAATACGTGGAGAAGAAATAGTGTTTCTTCAAATTCCAGGTTGATATGTATGTGAATGATGTTAGAAAAAAATCACCATTTGGCAGGCAACTATGCCAATAATGATTTCAGGTAAGACTCCTCAATATTTGGTGAAACTGGTGGGAAGATCATGTTGGAAAATGGAGCTCCAAGTGTCTCAGTGGTGACCAATATGAGTCATAGACCAGCAGTTGGTCAAGTCCATACCGCACACCTCCTGGAAGGAATGGCCGAGAAGTAGTCAGCTGCTGTGGTTTCCTGCTAGAAGCATGTGGCCTACACATCAGGATGAATAAACATCAGAAAGACCAGACTGAGACACAGTCTGTGAAATAAGGTGACGTTTTACAGCTCTGCAAGATGACAGAAGACCAAAGAAGTAACCGCTCTGAAGTAAAGGAGACAGAGAGAAAGGACAGTAAAGCAAGTCTGCCCTGAAGGATACCATGCGGTAACTTAAAATCAGAACGTGGCCCTTGGAATGTGGTCATACTGCAAGGATGTCGAGGTTCAGGCTTCATAACTGTGCCATAATTATGGAAAATCCATTTTAGAAGTTAAACTTAATACCTAGTAGTGTAGATACATTATGTCTTTAACTTGCCTGCAGACGTTCCCAAAGTGTGTATTTAGACACATGTGCACAGGCTTATAATAGCTGGGCCTGCTACACGGTGCCATCTGTGCCAAGGTAACATTCCAAAAGAGGGAGTAGAGCACTTACCGGTCCACCATGACCACGTCTGCTGCTTAGTGATTGTCACTGAGCTCAGGAACTGAAAGAGCAGTGTGTATAAGGGCATAAAACAAGCTGTCCCTGCTGCTGCAAGTTTCAGAAGGTGTGGTGTCTGAGATTGACTGGAGCTCCAAGTAAGATAGAGCTAGCCCTTGAGATGACATGTCCTGTGTCTGTTTGCTCTTTTGCCAGGAAAAGGAACCTCTGCGGGTAATACCACTTAAAGAAGTTCATAAAGTCCAAGAATGTAAGCAAAGGTAAGGGACTGCACAGTTTGAAGAACAGTGCCTCCCGTGGTTCATGAACATACAGCATGTGCTTCTCCGTTCTTGTGTGGATTTTTAACTGTGGTTAAGATATGCTGCACTTTCGTTTTGTTTTTTAATCTTAAAGTATTGCAATATTTTATTTGAAAACTAAAAATTAGGAAATGACTCATTTGTAAATGACATTTCAGAAGTAGCTCCTTAATGTAAAGGAAAAATTATTATGAGAAACTTCTGAGATTTAACAATTTGAGGTATTTTTAGTATTTCAAAGTGCTGCAGAACAGATTGTCACAAGGAGCTGCACTGGCTGTGCCGTGCTGAATTGAATGAACTGTAAACACTTGGACTTTAAAGTTGCTTTATGTATCTTTTTTAAATGAGCTGTGCAAAGCATGTGAATTGTGATGCAAAACTGGGAAAAGATAATGTGATTTTGTTGGTGTTTTTTCTCTAACACTGATTTATTGACACATATTTGGCACTGAGTAACCAGCCAAAAGAGAAACTATCAAACTGTGATTAACATACAACTGGATGATTGTTTTTCCTAACAGTGACATAATGATGAGGGACAACCTGTTTGAAATTGTAACGACGTCTCGAACTTTTTATGTGCAGGTAAGACAGTTACTTGGAGATTATAGATTCTCTTACAAGAAATTAATAACATTTAGAGGTGAAATAAATATAAATAAAGCTTGTCAGTTTTGACAAGTATAATTTACCAGCTTATTGAAAGATGTCAGGTAGTAGGTTGGTGGTGGGGTACATGCTCAGAAATGGGAGTGTTCTGTTATGAATTAGTGAGATGGATCAGAATCACATTTAGGAGAAAGGGAGTGCTGTTTTACTTACATTTTAGCAGTACCTTCAAATGTATTATCTTTCTGTGTTTTTCTTTAATATTATGTTTGTTAACTTTATGAAAAGGAAAGCCTCAGGTATATAAATGAAATTATTGGAAAGAGCATTTATTTATTTTGTTAATGAGAGTTTGCAGATTTGCTTATTGTAGAAAAGTTAAAATGATAGTTTATAAAATACACATTTTCCCACATCCAAGCATTGATCTTACAGCAAGCAAGGTCATACTAAATGTATAAAATCTTGTTTGTTTTCATATATTGTCATTTTTCCATTAAAAGTTCTTTGGAAATAGATGGGTCTGGTGGCTCATGCCTTTAATTGGGTTTAAAGGCATTCAGAAGACAGAGGCAGGTGGATGCTGGTGAATCCGTGGCCAGCCAGGGCTGTGTAATAAGATCTTATCTCCAAAAAATAAAAAAAGCCACCTCTGGAAACATTTTAGAATTGCACCACACTCACTCCATGTGTGGCTGCTCCACAAGTTCTGTTCTTTTGTGACTAAACATTCATTTGCATAGTTTTCATAATTTACTGTGAAAGTGTGATGATGGGAGCATCTGTGTTTAAAATTTGGCCCGACTGATTTCTTTAGGATGTTTCCAGGTCAGATTAGCCATCAACAGTCCTTCTGTTTTGTCACACTGGCTTTGATCACTGTGCTCCTGCTCTGCCCTGTGCCTGCTCTGCCCTGTGCCTGCTCCAGGTTCTGCCTTCTGAAAAATGCTCCTTGAAGTTATTGGCATTTGATAGATTCTGGGAGAGGGGGAGTTAGTTTTCTTCACTGTGTGACCCTTGGTAGGCTGACCACATACCAGAGCAGGCCCCACTTCCAATATTAGCCACGCACCACACACTGGACTTGATGGAGAAGGGGGTGTAGATCTCGAAGTTGAGTGGGAAGGATGGGAGAGCAGAGAGGAAGGAGTTAGGAGAGGGGGGTGGATATGTTCAAAATACATTGTATGAAATTCACAAAAAATTGGTAAAAAACATAAAATTCAATGTGCAGTTTACAAAGTGCATAGAAAAAAATGGCCTAAAATTTGAAACAAATAGGGAAAATTGTTTTGCCACAGTAAAGCAAAGAATCATCATTTAAGGAGAAAAAAAGACATTATTAGCTCAGAAACATTCTATATTTTACCTTTTTGGAAATTGTAGATTCTAGATTCTAATTTAGATCACTTCTCAAGGACTGAGGGGTTCTAAAATAGCAGAAGGTGTGTGTTGGTACCTTCTTAGGCTTGTGCTGTGGCTATACCACCTTGAACATCCTGGTCTTATATTTAAATTCACACTGGCAGTCTTTATCAAGAAAGAGAACTATAGCCGGGCATTGGTGGTACACGAACTTGAGAGGCAGAGACAGGTGGATTTCTGTGAGTTCGAGGCCAGCCTGGTCTACAGAGCAAATTCCAGTACAACCAGAGCTGTTAACATGGAGAAAACCTGTCTTGAAAAAAACAAACAAGACAAAACAAACAAAAAAAAAAAGGAAAGGGACTACCTCTGAATTTGACTACTAGTGCATCTTTAATTCAATGTCCTATTAGAAGTTATTTCTATCCAGGAAAGGCGCAAAGCTACACAGAGAAACCCTGTCTCGAAAAACAAAAAAAAAAACAAAACAAAAAAAACAAAAAAAAAAAGAAGTTATTTCTAGCCAGATGGTGATGGTGTACACCTTTAATCCCAGCACTCAAGAGGCAGAGGCAGGCAGATCTCTGTGAGTTCGAAGACAGCCTGAAGCTAGTTCCAGGACAGCTAGGGCTGTTACACAGACAAACCCTGTTTCTTTGTCTTTAAATAAATAAATTTATTATGTATACAGTCTTTTGCCTGAATGTATGCTTTGATGCCAGAAGAGAGCACCAGATCTCATTACAGATGGTTGTGAGCCACCATGTGGATGCTGGGAATTGAACTCAGGACCTCTAGGAAGAGCAGCCAGTGCTCTTAACCTCTGAATCATCTCTCCAGCCCAAGAAATTATTTCTAAAATTAATACATTAAAAACCTTTTTAAAGTTTCAGTTATACATGTAGCAAGTTCAGACTATAGCATTTGACAGCAAAATAAGAACTTTCTTTGGTTTCTTCCTCTTACTTCCTTTCTAAAAACGTTCATCATCGACAGTTTTATGTGCCTGGTTTTAAAGCATGCAGTGGCTATCATATGTCTCCATATAGTAACTTGCTCAGAAAAAACAGGGTTGAAAATAGTGTTTTTGAGCCAGGCTTAGTGGTATATGCTTGTAACCACAACTGTTCAAAAGGCTGAAGCAGAAATTTCAAGGGCAACCTCCATAAAGAGTGAAGTGAAGGCCAGCCTGAGCAATTTAATGTGACTGTGTTAAAACTAAAACACACATTTTAAAACAAAGACTCAATATCTGAGTGTTTTCCTTGAACATGTAAGTGTCTGGGTTAACTTCCCAATAACACATACTCACACAAAAAATGCCTTCAGGGGTTGGAAAGATGGCTCAGAGATTAAGAGCACTGGCTGCTCATGCAGAGGACCCAAGTTTTATTCCCAGAATCTGCATTGGGTGGCTCACAACTGCCTGTAACTACAGCTCCAATGGAGTCCAATGCCCTCTTTTGACCTCTGTAGCTGGGGACAGCTGGACCAATGACTCATGAGTTTACTGAACTCCACTCTACACACACACACACACACACACACACACACACACACACACACACACACACACACACACAAATAATAAATCTTTTAGAGTGTTTTGAAGCCAGGCATAGTGGCTCACACCTTTAGTCCCAGTACTTGGGAGGCAGAAACAGGTGGATGACAAGCAGATCTCTTGAGTTCAAGGCCAGCCTGGTCTACAGTGAGAGTTCAGGACAGCCAGACTTACAGAGAGAAATCTTGTCTTGAAAAAGAAAACAAACAAAAATAAATAATAGAAATAAAAATGCTTTGAAAACTATTTTTTAGAAATTACTGTCTTTGAATGTGTTTGCAGTTACTAAGGTATGGAATACATGGAAATAGAAGGTGATTTTGAGAGAAATTTGACTGAGATATCCCTTTTATTTCCTTTAGGCTGATAGCCCGGAAGAGATGCACAGTTGGATTAAAGCAGTCTCTGGCGCCATTGTAGCACAGCGGGGACCTGGCAGATCAGCATCTTCTGTAGGTTTTCTCCTTCTTGGGGAAACTCTGCATCCTTTGGAGTTGTTTTCTTCCTCTTCCCTAATCCTTCAGTTTCTTTCTTTGTTGAGATTATTTGCATGTTGACTTTCATACCAATTGGACTTGCAAAAATAATTCACCCTAATTCAGAGCTTCCTTGTAGTGTCACATGTACATAACTTTCTGTGCACATTGTGTTAATGCACAAGCTGGGCAGCTAAAGAGTAGAGCCTTTCTTCCTTTGTTCTTGCACTTAGGTTCTTGTTAGTAGGTCTGAGTGTGACAGTTTGGCACTCTTGATGTGACGTTGGCCTGACCATTCAAGGTACTTTTGGGTCTAGCAAAACACAGTCTTGGTTTCCCCTTGACTTGCCATCTTTCATTTAAGATTTTTTTCCTTAATGGTGTTGGGATATCACTGACCAAACTAGAGCCTTAAGTACAGTTTTGTGTTCCCATTAATTTTTTTCCTATTTCATATTGTTATTTAAATTTTTTATCAGGTTGGTAGAAAAGCTTGTTATCTTTGCTGTGGTTTGATAGTAACATTGAAACAACTAAATGATCTGCTCAGACACAGCAAGAGCAACACTTGTTCATCTTGTTCAAGTGAATCTTAAGAAGTAGTTTTGTTTGGAATACTTTGGCCATTCATCTCCGTTCTGAAAATGCAAACCCTGTTGAGAAATTACATCTTCAAAGTAGCACTGTTGCCAGCTGTCCTGGTGTGCCATCCCTAGCCTTTATGATGTATTCTGTATCTGCCTAGACATCCTGTACTGTCGGTATTTTTCCTGGTAGTAATACTGTCTTTTAGTAGTCTCCTGGTGCTGATAATAACAGATCAGTAGATAGTAATCCACTTTTCCCATTCTTTAATCATTTATCATTATTCAGGTATTCCTTTAGGAATATTGAAGAAATCTCTTTCATGGGTGTTAAGTTTTGTAACTGCCTGCATTTTATGTGACTTTCAACAGTCAAGTATGAGATTCTCTGCAAAAACAATGTCTGTTGGGAAGAGGGAAAGTTGGAGAAGGGTGTTTGTGTTCTGTGCTTTGTGGTGGGGGCAAATCGGACTGTCCAGCTGTGACTATCAGCAGAATTCTCTCTTTTCCTCCCTCTCCCAATATAGGTTAACTCTAATCTTAGCTTTGCACTGTGTTCCAGATGCGGCAGGCCAGAAGGCTGTCGAACCCTTGTATACAGAGGTATACATCAAGAGCTGGTGAATGCAGCACGTATGTGGGCTCTCATGCAAATGTGCCTTCTTAGTAGAGGGCCTGGACTCGCTCCTACTCACAACTGACCACAGAAGGTTGAGTGGACTGACTGCCTTTTGCGGTTGTCGTCACTAACGCAAACTCTTTAATGTAGTCATCAGACTGAATATGTATAGTAAGAGAAGACAAAAGCAACCATGCTAATGGAAGCTTCCAGAGCTTCAGAAACTGACTGACTGAATTGCTGCAAGAGTTTTGATTTCCACATTTTATGCATTTTGAGTTTTTTTTTTTATATATATATACATCACTTAAAATGTGCCTTTGTTCTGATCCAGGCAAATTTCTGCACGCACCCACATTGGATAAACTATGTCACCAGAATTGCATGGCATTTTATAACTCTGGTGAAGTTTACCATGTAATGGGAGCCTGTAGTGTTTGCTGATCGTGGTGCTGTTTTCAAAGCAGCTAGTGTTGTAAATGAGCACACTCCGGAGCTGCACAGCACCCCCAGTGTCTTCAGATCTGTTACTAGAAGTACAATAAAATCAGTATGCCCAACTGATCTTACTTCATCAGAGTTTTAAAAGTGATTCAGTTGTACCCTTTCTTACTTTTAAAGTCTTAAACCATATGAATGTGTGACTTACCCAAAATAAGCAGTTAAATCGGCTGCAGTTAGTTGCAGTGAAATTGAGAGGCAGAAAACAAGTTGTCAGACTGCTAGATAAAATCATGTCTGAAAAGTCTTGATTCTTGTTGATTAGCCTATAGCCTTTCATTTTTATATTTTGTCTTTTTATTTTTTTAAATACTTGGGATAGTCCCCATTACTCTTAAATGATGGTAGACTCTTCTTTCAACACAATTCAGTTGCAGTTGGAACACCGTATTTCATTTTAGGCTAGATAGGCCTTCAAAGTGCCATAAGCTGACAAATTCATTTTTGGTGACAGAATCAGTTTCTTAGTGGAATTGGTTGTTGGCTATAATTGCTTTGAACTCACCCCTAAAATGCATCGCTTTGGGAAGGAACTTGCACATTTATGCTGCATGGCTCATGCTTCTGCTATGTGTGTGTGTGTGTGTGTGTGTATGTGTGTGTGTTTGTTTTTCAGAGAATCAAGTCTCCCATTGAGTGACTGACTGACTTGCTGTCAGTGATTAGCTGTATCTGACCACCACTCCTCTTTCCAGGAGCATTCCGGCTGTCCTTCAGAATCCAAACACACTGTCCGTCCTGCCGGGGCAGCAGCAGCAGCCACCTCACATTCCGCAGCCTCTCGCAGCCACTCTCTGGTCTCAAGCTATACCATGGAGAAGCGAGGATTTTACGAATCTCTTGCCAAGGTCAAGCCAGGGAACTTCAAGGTCCAGACTGTCTCTCCAAGAGAACCAGCTTCCAAAGTGACTGAACAAGCTCTGCTTAGACCTCAAAGTAAAAATGGCCCTCAGGGAAAAGATGGTGAGCCAGTGGACTTAGATGATGCCAGCCTGCCAGTCAGTGATGTGTAAGGTGGGAGCACATGGGCTGCCTGCCCCTCTCATCCCTCAGTGTCCTTTCATGAGGCTTCTAGCCAAAGATGATAGAGGATGGATGGTTTCAGTGCGTATATTATATTGTTTCTTGGGTGTACTTTGTAAACTGGCAAACCAAGAATCTAGGGAGTGGCCAAGTCAACGTAATTTCTTTAAGACAGGAAGGAAAAAAGATGTGCCCATACTGACTGTCCGAAGCTTTATATGTTTGGGTGGTAAAAATGTGTGTGATTTTTTTTTCTAGTGACTTTGAAATTTTAAATAACTTAAAACATTAAAATTTCTTATTGTTTTGATCATTTAAAAATGCTAATATGACTCCCTATGAAATATTTAATATTGACACATTCATATCAGTTAACATTATCAAATGGGACATCGCCAGACAAAAATTCTTAAACTCATGATGTCTGTGGTGCTGCAAAATTTATATTGTGATGTGGACTGTTTAGAAATTCTAGTCATTTTTGATATCAGGTGAGTGGTAAATTTTGCATAGAAGATTCCATTAGACTGATGAGGCAGGTAGGGGTTGAAATGGGGGCAGCAAAGGTGGGAGATTAGAGCTCAGCTATAGCGAAGATTTTTTTTTTTTTTTGGTGGGGACTTTTTTCTTTTTGAGACAGGGTTTCTTTGTGTAGCCATGGCTGTCCTGGAACTTGTGATCTTTCTGCCTCTCCTGCCTCCCAAATTATAGGCCTGTGTCTTACAGCCTGAGACACTTGTTTGAAAAAGCTTAAGACTTACACCTATCAGTATTTTATTTCAGTAAAAATTATTTGATCATAAATTTTGGGAAGATCTGGTTTTTTTTTTTTTCCAAGACAGTTTTTCTATGTTGCTCTTGCTGTCCTGGATCTCGCTCTGTAGACTAGGCTGGCCAAAAATTCACAGAGATCCACCGGCCTCTGCCTCCTAAGTGCCAGGATTAAAGGCGTGCACCACCTACATCCAGCTTTTTTTTTTTTTTTTTTTGTAACTAGATCTTATTTCTGAATTTGGATCAGTGAAAGACCACAGTTCATATGTGAAGTCATAACTGCCCTTAGTCGTGAAATTGTTGTGGCCTCTACCTTTTCATCATTAATAGCTTATATTCAAGTGCCTGTGTCTTCTCATCTCATTTAGGATTGTGCTCCAAAGTCCTACATGATTGGCTTTAAATGTTTGAATAAATTAATTCAGTAGTATAGTTTGATATGTTAAATAAGATACCATTTTATGTCAGAGACACCAGAATGTTGGTGTTCTACTACCTGTGCAATATTTATGTCTTGAAAAAAAAATTTGAGTATGCATTTAATTGTGGGGATATCCTAAATTAGAAGTACCTCTCTAAGGAACCCACAGTTTCTGGTGTTGAGTGATAGACTGGTTTGAGCAAGTACTGTTTTGCGGCAAAGTTTTAAGTGTTTGCTTTTCCCAGGCTGCTGCTCCATGGTATTTCCAGTTCCACACACTTCTGTTTTGGAGTCATGGGTGTTAGTGTTTTGCCTTTTTATGTTCTAAGACTACTTGTTGGAGGATGAGAAAATTGCTACCGTGTGGGGCCTAGGGGTTAAGATGTGTTACTAAGTTGCCCAGCACAAGAACATACCACTCACCTTTTATATTCATAAGCTAATATGTTAGAGTTCTATGTAGTTTTCTCTTTTGCAGCTGCATTGGAAAACCATAGGACAACAAGGTTTTTAAGCAGTTAGCACCCTTCTGCTGCCCTGTTCATTACCCAGGCTCTTTTGGAAGTTCCTTTTTCATGAACATACCTAGGAACCCATGTACAGACACTTGGCAGTACTGATGAGCCTGGCGCTGTTTCCTTTGGTACAGCCTCCCCAGTGCACGTTCATTTTAGCATATTTTGGTATTGGTAATTTGATATATTTCATGGTAGCAAAATATTAGCTCTATTTTGGGACTTTTTATAGAATTACCCTTATTCAAAAGTGTAGGATATGTTCTTGTGATTGTCAGGGTCTCCTAATATTTATCTCAATTCTTTTATAAGCTTACAGAAATTATTTAATTATTTTAAAACATACTTTCCTGTAAATATGTCACATCTGAAGTGTCAGCATTTACTTTGAATACCGTAATATTTGCTGCATTTTTTTCTGTGTGTATAATGTATCTCTTTTCAGAACAGGAATGTGCCTCCTGATGTTTACTGTTACACCTGCTATCTTTGTATGTCCAATTGGTTGAACACTGTAATGACTTGAGAATAAACTGCTCAGAATTCATTTTCACTTAATTCCCATTTTGTTTGGTTCAGTTCTCATGTGAACAAGTCAGTAGAACTAGTAAGAAACATTTTTGGTTAGTTCATTTGCTTACTTTTGACAAATAAGAAATTTCACATCAGGTAGTGGTGGCACATTGTCTTTAATCCCAGCACTTGGAAGGCAGAGGCAGGCAGATCTTTGAGTTTGAGGCCAGCCTGGTCTACAGAACAAGTTCCCGGACAGCCAGGGCTACAACAGAGAAACCCTGTCTCGAAAAATCAAAGGGAAAAAAAAAATTCAGATTCTTGAATTCTTGGGGTTTGTTGTTTGGTTTGGTTTTGTTAGGTTTTTGTTTTGTTTTGTTTTGTTTAGAGATAGGGACTTGCTATACAGTCTTAGCTGGCCTGAAAGTCACTATGTAAACCAAGCTGGCATTGAACTCAACAGATAGCCTTTTGCCTCTATCTCCTGAGTGCTGGGCTATAAAAGCGTGAACCACCAGGCCCAGCAGATCCATGAGTTCTTTTTTTTTCTTTTTGATTTTTTTTTTTTTTTTAAAGACAGGGTTTCTCTGTGTAGTTTTGGTGCCTGTCCTGGAACTCATCTCTGTAGACCAGGCTGGCCTTGAACTCACAGGGATCCGCCTGACTCAGCCTCCCGAGTGGTGGGATTAAAGGTGTGCGCCACCACCGCCCGGCGATCCATGAATTCTTAAGACAATTTCATGTGAAATTGTAGGAAGAAAATGTCTGTGTGTTTAAAAAGCTTGCTTATTTTACTTAAAAAATAAACAAAAAGCATGTTCTCAAAAGCAAAATTAAATGTGAACATAGAGCATATGTTCCAGGAACACAGAGAAATCCTGTCTCATAAAGAAAAAGAAAAAAGAGCATATACTGCTCTTGCAAAGGACCTGAGTTCAGTTTCCAACATACCTACCTGTTAATTCCAGCTCCAGGGAACCTGACCTCCTCTTCGGGTTTGAATGAGAGTGACTTCCATAGGCTTATATATTTGTGTGCTTAGTCCCGAGTTGATGGACTGTTTGAAAAGATGATGAGGTATGGCCTTGTTGGAGGAGTTCTGTCACTGATTTTGAAAGCCTACACCATGCTCAGTCTCCCTTTATCTCTGCCTACTGCCTTTGAATCAGGATATAAGTTCTCAGCTACTTCTCCAGCACCATGCCTGCCTGTATAATGCCACATTCCCCAGAATGACAATGGACTGACTCTCTGAAACTATAAGCAGGCCCTAATTAAATTTGAAGATATAGGGCTGGATGTGGTGGTATATACCTTTAATCCCAGCACTTGAGAGGCAGAAGCAAATGGATCTCTTTGAGTTTGAGGCCAGCCTGGTCTACATAGAGAGTTTCAGGCTAGCTGGGGCTACATAATAAGACTCTGTCTCTTAAAAAAAAAAAAAAAAAAAAGTTCTAAAGTTCTAATAGCTTAATTCCAGATCTCATATAAAAGCTTGCTTGGTGTAGCTAGAGTTTTCCTGCCTGGCCCACAGTCAGGACAAATATCTCTCACCCGCCAGTCCCACAGCCGCTCAGACCCGACCAAGTAAACACAGAGACTTATATTGCTTACAAACTGTATGGCCGTGGCAGGCTTCTTGCTAACTGTTCTTACAGCTTAAATTAATCCATTTCTATAAATCTATACCTTACCACATGGCTCGTGGCTTACCGGAATCTTCACATGCTGTTTGTCATCATGGTGGCTGGCAGTGTCTCTCTGACTCAGCTTTCTACTTCCAGCTTTATTCTCCTCCTTGTCCTGCCTACACTTCCTGCCTGGCCACTGGCCAATCAGTGATTTATTTATTGATCAGTCAGCAACACACTTGACATACAGACCATCCCACAGCAGCTTGGTGTTTGTAAGGGTTTGAAAATCCATACAAGACATGATTAGAAGCATGCTTAGTTAGATGGCTTTGTATTTTTCATTTGCTAATTTTCACATTACAGATACTAAAATTCAATTTTCCCTTTTTCAAATGATTTGTAAAGATTGTATTTTCCCTAAAATTCCTTGGTCCCCTTAGCTTTTAGGCAGGGCAGGTAGCCCTCAGACCTCTTCATAAAATAAAAATTAATTGTATATATGTATGAAATTTTCAAAGAATAAATATACATTCTAAAAAATGTATTTCCCAAACATCAAGATGTGTTTTGCGGCTGGAGAGATGGTTCAGTGGATAAGAGCGCTTGCCACACAACACAAAGACCAGTTGTACCCACATAAAAAGCTAGTTGTGTTAGCCGGGCGGTGTTGGCGCACGCCTTTAATCCCAGCACTCGGGAGGCAGAGCCAGGCGGATATCTGTGAGTTTGAGGCCAGCCTGGGCTACCAAGTGAGTTCCAGGAGAGGCGCAAAGCTACACAGAGAAACCCTGTCTCGAAAAACCAAAAAAAAAAAAAAAAAAGCTAGTTGTGGTCACCATTTCGTGCCTAGGACCCCAGTGCCAGTAAGAGAGCAGGTATATGAGGTTCAGTGGGGCCTCTTGGCTGCCAGGCTGTCTTTAGGTTCAAGGAGAGACTGACCCAACAGAGTATTATAGAGTAGGACACATGAAGTTCCCTGGCTTCCACAAGTGCTCGTGTGTGCACTTACACCCACATATTCTGTACACATACACTCTCATACACACACAAAAAAATGAAGTAAAAACTTTTAAATGGCTTGTGTTGAAAATACTGCTGAAGTGGTTAACGTTTACAACGCTAATTGATGAAATCTCAGAAGTCCACTGTCCTCACATTAAAAGGAGACTTACTGTTGTATGTTCATGTGACAGTAGTGCCACCTTCTGGTATTCTGGTTGCTACACTTGAAGTAATCTGACATCTGTTTTATTTTACTCTACAGGAAATGGGAGGAGATATGTGGCAGCATAGGATAGCTTTGAAATCCATAGAAATTTGAAATCACCTTTCTCAAATGATTTTAATTAAACTTTTTTGGAAGCAACTCTAGCTTCACATATCTAAGAAATAATATAGAAAAGCTGGACATGTCTACAGTGAGATGCCATCTCATGAAAAGATAGAATACAGAAATACCTTGTATGCCCTTTACTCAGTTTCCCCCAGTGATCTCTTATAAAGTTACAGTACAGTATTATAACCATGATACAGTTCAGAAACAGAACAGTCCCATCACTACAAGGATCCCTCGTTGTCCTCGGAGAGTCATATCCATCTGTTGTCTTACAGTTTGGACACAAACTCATTCCGTTCCCTAAAGGCACATTAGGGTTTAAAACAATCTTCAGATGCTGAAGTTGGGCCCTTAGTCCCTTTGGTATTGCTGCCTGTGTAGGAGTCTTGAGAACTGCCCTTTATATCTCCTGATTGGTAAGTGATGGAATTTTCAGTTTGTTGTCAGACACCTATTTCTTTTTTTATTAAGAACTTTTTTTCATTCATTTTACACACCGAAGATCACCCTCTTCCCTCCTCCTGCCCCCCCCAGCCTCCCCCTTCCAATCCACCCTCCACTCAGACACCTATTTCAAATGACAGATGTCTTTATACATTCCTTTCTGTTAACTTTGAGAATAATAGGGAAATATCTTGTTACTAACCACAGTGCAAGAGTTCAAGCTGTGAGTTTTTAAAGATTTTTTTTATTTATGTGGATGTGAGCATGTGAGTGGGGGTCAGAGGACAACATTCAGGAGTCAGTTTTCTCCTACCCTGTATCGATACTGGGGATTGAACTCAGGCTTAGTGGCAGGTGCCTTTACCTACTGAGCCATCTTGACAGCTCATCAGGCTTTGGATGTAGCTGTAGAGAGTGAATGTAAAGATTACCATTTTATATATGTGACTGGTGGATGTTTTTCATCTTTTGACCTCTTGGAGTCAGATTCTTGTCTTCCATGTACAGCAGACCAAAGAGATAAATTAGGGATGTTGAGCAATTCCTTAAATGTCTTTCAGCCATTTGAGTTTCCTCTGTTGAGAATTCTCTGTTTAGTTCTATAGCCCATTTCTTAAATGGACTGTTGGGCATTTTGATGTCTGATTTCTTGAGTTCCTTTTATATTCTGGTTATCAGTCCTCTGTCAGATGTGGGGTTGGTGAAGACCTTTTCCCATTCTGTAGGCTGTCGCTTTGCCTTGTTGACTGTATCCTTTGCTCTACAAAAGCTTCTCAGTTTCAAGAGGTCCCATTGATTGATTGTTTCTCTCAGTGTCTGAGCTACTGGTGTCATATTTAGGAAGTGATCTCCTATGCCAATGCGTTCAAAAGAAATAGAAAGTTCAATATATGGTAAAATCTAATGTGGAAAACTACATTATTATAAAAAACTGCACATCCAGAGGCTAAGATGGTCAAAGAATGATGGCATGGGTAAGGAGCGATGTAGCAGAGAGGACTTCTAGAAAGCCCCAGAAGAGCAAGGTGCTTCTAGGAAACTTCTGTATTACATGATAAGGAATTTGTAAATGTTGATTTGCAATCTCCATGGTCCAAATAGGGGGTAGAGAATTTAAGTCATTCTCTTCAAGGTTCAAGGAGCTTTCTGTCTTCCAAGCTATGACTCACACATCTCTCCTTGCCCTAGTTTTCTTCAGGGGAAAGGTAAGAAAGGGAAAGAATGTGGGGGAATTCCATGACTCAGGAGCTTGTTCGGTTAAGTCTCCTGCTATTTGCCCTCTTAATTTCCTTTCCTGCACCAAGATAAAACACCCTAACAAAAGCAGCATAAGGGGAAAAGGGCTTATTGGGCTCACATTTCCAGGTTACAGTTCATCACTGCTGGAAGGTCAGGGTGGCAGGAGCTTGAAGCAACAGGTTACACACATCTGCAGTCAACCAGGGGACAGTGAATTAGTGTATGCATGCTAGCACTTAGCACTCTCTCCACTGTATACAATCCAGGATACCCTACTGAGGGAATGGCACCACCCACAGTGGGCAGATCTTCCCACCTCAATTAACACCATCAAGACAGTTCACATGGACGTGCCTACATTAGATGTCAACCTGATCTAGA